GTGTAGCTAAATTTAGTCGCAATCTTACAATTAGCCTTAAATTTTCCTCTCTTGTGGAAAATAATCTTACTTCGTAGGAAGGTCAAAAATATGATTTTAGCCAAGATATTTCTAAAGCAGTGCACTTTTTTGCCTTTCTTTTGAAAAAAAAAAAATAAAAAAAAAATCGGGAGAGGGGGGGGGTTTATTTAATAGAAAAGCCAATTCGATATAAGTGAAAGCTAAGACATATCTGCATCCTCTCCATATTAGCGCTTTTAAACATTATCGCTTTTTATCATGCACTTGATTCCTTTCTACTATGTAAGTTCGTTCCTCTTGAATATCCAGGGCGGTCTGGAAAACCAGGAAAATCATGGAAAGTCAGGGAATTTGCGACGACCGGAAAAAGCCAATGAACTTGCGGGGAAAATTAGGGAATTTCTAACACCTCCACTTATCACTGATCTTTCAACTGTTTACCCTTTCGGGTCATTTTTAAAGCTTGTAATTTTTTAACCAAACCACTGAATTAATTTTTCCATAATTTGATCTCTTAGAAAGGAAATTTTATCCAAAGTTTAACGAAAGTCAACTTGTTTGAAGAAAGAAAAGTGGACATATCGTTCGAAGGTCAGGAAAAGTCACGGAATAAGAAAATTTCAGATTCAAGGGAAAGCGGGCAAAATACCCACAATGTTTTTACATATATGGCTCCCCAAAGTTCATGTAGAATCGCCAGTTTAGGGATCGATAATCGTAGCATCAATTTTACTAAAATTAGGATCATACGGATTAATTCCGGATTAATTGCGGGGCAAGTCCGGAATTTCTGGAAAGTCCAGGAAAAGTACTGATTAAGGGCGGTCCGGAAGTACTGAAAAAGGGCAGAAATTCCGCAAGTAGGTCCGGAATTTTTTGTCACTTTCGACGTAATTTGAGCGAGAAATTCAAATTATTGAAATTTTTCGAATTTTGTTAATCGGAGGTACTAAAAAGGCACTGAATTCGTCTATTGAAGAGGCACCGAATTTCTTGGGAATATACTGAACGAGTACTGTAAAAGTACTGATTTTTGGCTAGCCTGTTTTAGTAGACACCCTCGGGACCTTCCCCGTATTTCGTATTTTTTTTTTCGAATATCCTAAAGAGTTTTCCGAAAAAATGAGCAAGACCTCGAACATGGCAAATATCATTCGCTTCGAATTCGAATTTCGTACTTTTCTCTCGAGCATCCTAAAGAGTCTGATTACGTGGCATGGTGTCAACGATTACAGTGTCAAAAAACAGTTTTTCTAAGTTTTTGTTGACTCTATGATTATCCAAAAATAAAAAAATTCTGACTCTTATGAAAGATGATCACGGTGTCAACGATCACGACGTCAACAAAACTTAAAACTTCCCTCTATAACATTTTTCAACTGTCAAGTCTTGTTTTTCTTGTGTTACAATCTAATCTCGTTATCAAGAGTCTCTCGAAAAAATCATCAAGACCTCAATCCCTTTGAGCATAGCGAATATCTTGAGCTTGGCGCACGATTTGGCGCCGGGGCGCAGGCGCAGGCGGACACGCGACCCCGACGCAACGGGCACGTGTTGACGTGACGCCAAGCGGCGCGGCGCGCGCGCGTCGGCGTCGCGACGCCTCTTGATAGCGACGATAGCATCCTCATCCTTGGTTCGGCGCCTGAAGCATCTTCCGCCTCGGGGCTCCGCAATCCGCATCCTCTCATTATCCTCGTCTGCTTCTCGCCTCGGGACCCGGGACCCACTCGAATCTCGGTGTCCTTCGCATCCTCTCGCCTCCCGCCTCCGAGCCCCGCCACTCGCAAATCCATCGACCATATGCCACAAGGGCTTATCACCAGATGTCTCCTGGGAACCTGCATATCCCGCTGCCAACGGGGCAGTGCACTTTTTTCGAATCGAGGATTGAAATTCGGTGCCGGAGTCAGTGCTCCCGTTTCCCAAAACTAGTTCCGAATTCCGGAACTTTGGAAATTTGCCTCAATTGTTTAGATTTCCCTAAACTTTTCACGGAACTTTTGAAATTCCCGGAATGTTCCGGATCTTCTGCATTTTCCGCAACTTTCTTGGAACTTTGGAAAAAGTTTTTGACGGTCATGGAGTGGGAGAAATTGTAACAATGTTTTGTAAAGCCGTTGCACCAACAGCATCTGTAGCCCCCGAAAATCCCGAAGGGTGTTAAAAAAAGTGTTAGGAGTTGTCTACTAAAGTTGTGGTACCACCGCAATTTTTTGGACGATATTGACATTAGACTGTACCGTGTCATTCACGAAATCAAGCTCAATAGTCATGCCGTCATGTCAAAATTCATGTCTCTAATCGTGATTATCAATCGTTGCTACCATATAAAGTACCCTAAAATATAGAATATTTGGATTTCATTTTGCAAAAAGGAACCAGGAGCATTGCAATGTCGCTAAGATTGTGCAACTTCACCCATTGCAATAGAACGATTTATATCCTGAAGAAAAATGAAATTTACATGGTAATTTTTGTCCTGAATTTACAGTTTTTAGCGAGTTAAATAGAAACTGTTTAGAGATAATCAGGTATTCCTTCCAAGACAAAAGGAGCTGCACAATCTCAGCAATTTTGTAATGCTCTTGGTTCCTTTTTGCAAAATGGAATCCATTTATCGTAGAGAGAAAAGGAAATAGATTTTTTGCCTTCTCGATTAGCTTGTCGGTAAATTATTTATGCACATTGCTGCGTTTAGCTGGAAGCATTTGATCTACGGTAACAAGCTTAAATTCTCCTCTGCTGATAGGATAACTAACGATGACGATGGCACGCCGACCCGGGGAGGGGGGGGGGCAAGTCTGCGCCGCGGTTATTCACTAAATTCACCATTCTGCCGTATGCGCCATCAGGCGTTGCCAAATTTCCCTCGACAAATCACGAATTTTCAGGAAAATCTGAGAACATTTCTTCTCCAATTTTTCAGAGGAATCCGGCCAAAATTTGATCTTAAAGGTCTAAAAATTTCATGGAGAAATATTCGTAACTTCTTCAAAAATAGATATTTTCTGAGAGGAATTTGGCAACATTCGAATCCTGTTACGGCGTTTTTTGCTTAGCGCGGGAGTATTGATGGTAAGTTTCCATCTCCTCGAAGTTTAATCCGCTCCAACGCTCCGCAACGCGGCGCGGCGTTATTACACTTTTAATTGTGTAAATTTTCTCATGGCCGGATTACTTTCGCCGCGGGTTAGTCGGTAATCTTTAATGTAATCCGTCTGTTTCCGGATCTGCTTGGTTCGCTCAACCGCTCTGATTCCCCCGCGCATTTCTCGGATCTAATAGACTGTATTAGAGCTGAAATGCTTGCCATTCTAATTTCGTTAGTCACTCTCGGCGAGAGAAGTGTCTCACCGCCGTGAGTAAATAGCACGAACGAACTTCCATTTCCCTATCCACCGGTTTTGTTTCCGTCGTTTTCCAGACGAAAAAACGTGGTTCCATTTCAGCGTTGCAAAATTTCCTTTCGTAAATAGTATTCATACGAGGAGAATTTTAGGCTTTTTTAACTGACAATTTCTGTGGGTTTTCTCCACATTATATACAATAATTAGGAAAATTTTTGACACAAAGCCTGCTGTTATATTCTTTGTAATATATCGGAGCGTTTCATTGAGTTTTGCAACTCCGGAAGAGAGTCTCTCTCCTTCGTCCAGGAAACGACGTATGTATCAGTGGAATGAAATATCTGCAGGGTTGTAAAATTTCCTGCAAAAACTAAAAATTTCAAAGAATCATTTCTGAAAGGAGATAAAAGTAATAAAAATGCGACCAATCAAAAGCTGACGGTCGAGTTGGCGGAGCAGGCGATGCCTGACTTTGCAGATCAGTTCAGCTGATCAGCAAACGCCTTTTCCCACGCCTGACTACGTCATCGGCGTTTCAACGGGTCACATTTTTGGCACTTTCTATACGTGGTCTCTTTTCAATCAGGGGTTTTAAAGCAATGTGCAGGGTGTCTAGCATCAGGATCTTCCCGATTCTATCAGGATTTGAGATCAATCAGGATTCAATCCCGAGTTCATCAGGATTTGAGGAAACATCGGTCGTAAAATCAGGATTTTAGGAAAGTCTGCCGTCCGATCGGATTTTTTTATCGAGCTATTTTTGTGAAGTCACATTTGCTTAATTTTTCTCCGCAAAAAATCAGGATTTGGAAAACTTATGAAATTCGGATTTACTTAGCAGTGAAAAATCAGGAAAAATCAGGTTTCCACTAGGACTTCCCAAAATGAAAAAAAAAAAAAAAAAAAAAAAAAAAAAAAAAATATAAAAAAACAATAAAAAACAAACAAATAACAATAAAAAACAAACAAATAACTAGACACCCTGATCTGGCCAATTTCTCTGAGTTTAGTTCACTCCGAACTTTCCAAAAAATGAATAAAAAAGTGACCTAAGATCATGGTGTCTAGAACGGGAAAAACCGGGATTCATCAGGGAATGAAAATTTACAGGGAAAATCAGGGAAAAATCAGGGGACTGTTCCAGAAACCGGGATAATCTCCTCTTTTACCGCCTATAAGGATGATTTTGATTTCAAATTTGGCGGTCCAATCAGGCCGAGCGCTGTTATTGACTTCTTGAATGACACATTTGAAGCCTCAAATCATCAAAAGAATGGAGAAGCCTTCATTGACCAGATAACATAAACATCAGGAACGCTATCAGATTTGAAAGATGAATCACAACCTAAATTCATTTATTGAACTCTGGATATTTATATTCTTTTCCCCCAGAAAGTCCCGGAGAAGTGGGAGAAAACTTCGGTTTTTTATCAGGGAACGAGCTTCTATAAATCAGGGAAAAATCAGGGAATGAGCCGGATCAAAAACTCTAGACATCATGCCTAAGACCTATTATCTTGTTTTTCATAAAATAGTGATGCATTTCTCATTTGTTTGCTGTCATATTTGTTTCACATTTTGTGGTTTTTCGTTCAGAAATTTGATGTCGTTTTTTCTTCTTTTTTTCAGAGCGGGCGGGGATCGCCGCGGAGGATGGAGCGAATCCGTCGGAGTTTCAGGGATAGTTTTCGACGTCGAAAGGATAGCCACATGCCTGAAGCGAGCAAACCCCACCAATGGCAGTCCGACGAGAACGCCGTTCGCAACGGAATCTGCGCGTTCCATGTCAAGGTAATACTCTCATCAGGAAACATTTTTATTTTTACGTGAGCAGATGCTCTTCCCGAAACGACCAAATCGCTAGCTCGACTCCTCGCTCCGCTGAAGCACAGTGGATCTAGTCAATGGGCAAGGTCGGACAAAATTTGAAAACTTTAAACGCTTAAAACTCCGTCTATACAAAACTTTGAGGTTCTATAAATGGTTCCATTGGTTTTCTCGTGAAATTTACTGCATGGAACACCCCTTGAAATTTAAAATACGAGGAAATAAACCCCAAAATTTGCAGTTTTAGTTAAAAATTTCATGTCCCACCTCTGTAATTGACTCGATCCATTGTGTGACGCGAGGGCGCGTCCCTATTTTCACTTACGCTCCGGAAAGCTGGAGTCTTGCGAAGCCCAGCGGGCCGATCATTGAACAGGGTGGAACAAGTGGAAATGTAGATACGCTCTCACGTCATAGGAGTGACAATCTGAGGTCTCGGTTGAATCGGTCAGTTGCACGCCACAAAATCGCGTCTAGATGGCAGAGGCCGACTGACATCGAAAAAGTTAGGAGGCGATCATGATTTGGGGGCCTATCTAAAAGGAGAGAGGGTCTGAGGGATTTACCCCCAGAAGATGTTTTCAACAATTTTTCGAGGTCTCGGGGGCTCCTCTGTTGCTTTTGAGACCTTCAAGATCCTGTTATCACCACGGAATGTTGAATGGACCACTAGACAAAGTGCGAATTTCAGCATTCTGATACATGTTTCGTAACTAAAATTTCAAGTATGACACGATGCTCACAACGAAAATTACCGCTATTAACTCCTTACGAAGAAATTTAATGATTCTTGATGCGTGAATTCAAACCACCCGCTCATGAAAACTCAATGCTCTACGTGATTCACACAGTGCGCTAAACGTTATCATGACAGTCTCTGCGATATAAAAATCTGGCAACCTTAATCTTGACGCTTTAGCTCGGCTATAGAAAATTGCTAATATTTTGAAGAACACATGGTGGGAAATGAACATTGCTCGATTGAGAAGCTTGCTGAAACCTTTGTAGTGCGCGATTTGACTCACGTTAAGCTTTGAGTTTCTTGTGAGCGGGCAGTTCAAATTCCTTGTAACCAATGTGAAATTAACACATTAATATCTTCGTTAGGAGCTAGTATCAGTAGTTTTCGTTGTGTGAATCGTTTTCTACGTGAAATTCTGGTTCAGAAGCATGTATCAGATTGCTTACTTAAATTCATACCTTGTTTAGTGGTCCATTGTGACTCCTGAAAGACCCGAATTTCAAATTACCAAGCCCTACTTTTTCCCTGGCATCAGCAGTGGATTAGTACCCCGCTCACATTGTTTCTAACTTGTTCCGACCAGTTCGCCTTCAATATCTCGATAGGCAATGTGAGCGGCTTAGGAGCAGTAATAGTTGCTCGCAGGAGTTTGGCCAAGTTCACTTGGTTCAGTCATAGCTGTAGCGTCTTAATTCCTCACTCGCATTGTTTCTACCGGTTTATTCTACCAGTACCTTGTTCCGATCAGTTTGCCTTCAATCGTAAAGCAATGTGAGTGGCTTGGGGGCAGTAATAATTGCTTGCACCAGTTTTGTCATGTTTGTTCATTGGTATCAGCGGCCACTTCTAGGCTGCAATAATCATGGAAAGCGGCATGGTAGATCTTAGGAATGAACTGTAGCAAGAAATGGAAATTCGCATTGTTTAAATGAGGGTTCAGACCCCTCTCTCTCAGTTTTAACTCAATGTGGCTTATTTCCGTTTCGTTATACTCGTTCCGTTTAATCCCCCCCTCCCCCCCCCCCCCCCCCAATCTGTTTATTTTTTCAAATCACTCATTTGTTGTATTTTCTTCCTGTTTTCAGTACCTAGGCTGCGTTGAAGTTTTCGAATCTCGAGGGATGCAAGTCTGTGAAGATGCCCTACGAGTTCTGAGGGTAAGCCCCTATTTCAACATTAAGCTTAAGTGTCTAGTGATATTCCCTTGTTGTTTTTTAATATCTATAGATCAGCTTTTTTTAAATGTTCTCGTCTATTTAATTACATGGAGGCACATTAGCATGTTCTATTTTTTTTTTTTTTACAAATATTGTCAAATTTTACTAGCTGCCAGTCTAATTTTTCAAATGAATTACAATTTTTCATGTACCTCTACTCAGTTGTCACCTAGGAATTTCCGCATTAATAGATTAGTGCCTGAAAATCAAACATTATTATTTTAAAGTCGAAGAAAATAGTTTAAAATAAAAAAGTTTTAAATAAAGAGGTCGAACCTCTTATCTTTAAGAATTTGTCCTAACAACCCAAGTGAAAAAGTGTAAACCTAGCTGTGAAATTATTGTTCCTACTTGTCAGAAAATTAAAAGTGTATGGAATATATGAGACGTTATCTAGCTCTTATTTTTGTTTCAGAATTCTCGGCGGAGGCCTGTGAAAGCAATATTGCATGTCTCTGGTGATGGTTTGAGAGTTGTTGACGATGAAACCAAAGTAAGTACTCAAGAAGCAAGCAAAAATTTCTAATATTATCCTGTACATAATCCTTTTCGAATATTAATATCCATTAAGTATCCAAACATTCTTAGTAAGGAATCGTTGAGGTAATTAACACGTCCTTGGAGCTAAATCCTCAGGGAAAATGAGATAGTAATCTTATGAGTTCATCAGGAAAATTACCTATAATTAATAATTACTTTGTAAGAAATTGATGAGTGACTCAGTTTGTCACGTTTAGGATGTACAATGATACTTACTTAAAGATAGTAACCTTTAAAAAGTCAGGGGACTAGAGCAAGGAAAACCGGGAAATATTTATTGAGAAGACTAAACTTTATCTGCTGCTCAATGGGCCTGTTGCATGCAAGAGATACAGCCGTGCGAATAGACTTTTTAGAGGTTAAATGACACGAAAATTACGATGGTCACATTAAAAAAGTCTGAAATATACTCCTTACTGCGCAATTTGTGTTGTTAGGAACGCGCTTTTTCAAATTTCCCACGTCTGGGGGCAGTTTTCTAACGGAAACAATTAACTGCAACTCGCGGCTATTTCCGGTCAACTAAAACTGACAACATAACCTAAAAATCGGAGCTCGTAACATCGTGAAATGAAATGTAGAAGGATTGCGTTGGATATTTAAAAGTTGATCGATTTGGTTACCACATAAAGCGTATATGGACCACTGTAGGAGATCACGTTGGGTTTGTAAACAAACTGAAGGAATAAATAACAACAACAACAACGACTCGGCATCTTCCGGAAATCACCGAGCCCGCCGTTTGCTCGTTTCCGGTGATTAGAAAACTGCCCTCAGGCGCGGGAAATTTGAAAAAGCGCGTTCCTAACAACACAAATTGCGCAGTAAGGAGTGTATCTCAGACTTTTTTAATGTGACCATCGTAATTTTCGTGTCATTTAACCTCTGAAAAGTCTAATCGCGCGGCTGTATCTCTTGCATGCAACAGGCCCATTTGCTGTATTCTGCGCAAAGGAATGTTTCTTGGTGGTGCTGGCTCCATTTTTCTTATCCACTTTTTTTTGTATCTGTATTGAGAACCGTCACATATATTTTCCTGAAATTTCTAGTGATTTGTCATTGTCCTTGTACAAAAAGAGGTTGAAATTTTCAGACTAATTTGTGTGTCAGTTTTCTCTTGAATAAATAAAGTTTTCGTCGAAATACTGCAACAATGCTGACAAAATACGGTGAATTTCTCTCAATTTTTCCTCGAGTTTCATGACTGTTGTAAAATTTTAAGTTTGTAAAGGTTGTGTAGAATTAAAAGATGAACCTTAAATTAATGGGAGGAACTGCTCAATTTTTTATGCTTTTCAGCAGATACTTAGTAATTGAACAAAATAAAAATGTTTCGTTATTTCGGTCAAGAGGAATCGGAAAAGTCATTGAATTTGTTTTCTTCAAGTCTTTACTCCCATTGTATGATGATATACTCAATGATTTCTCTGCATTTAAGCCGTTTTATTTTAATGTCAAGAACACATGGATACTTTTTTTGAAAAGTACTTATATTTACAATTAATTTTTTTCATTTAATGTTTTAGGGTTTGATGGTCGACCAAACAATAGAAAAAGTTTCATTTTGTGCCCCTGATCGGAATCATGAGAAGGGATTTTCCTACATCTGTAGAGATGGAACAACTAGGAGGTGGATGTGCCATGGATTTCTTGCCCTGCGAGAATCGGTGAGACTTAGCTGTTGTTACTTCTACCTGCCTTTCTCTTTGCAAATCTCCACTCATTTCTTCCTATTTGAAGCCAAAAAAATACAATTTACCGCGAAACTTTTAAAATATTATTGAAGTATCCCAAACCGCTGTCATGTCAATTTTTTGGAAAACCCTGGACATCAAAATGAAATTACTTACTTGTTTTTTCGTGGATAGACATGAAATCCTCTGCATACTACCAGGAGAAGGGATTGCTTTTGGTCAATTTGATGTCTTGATCGAGGAGTGACCACCACCATGATATCCAATAGAAAAACATTGAAAAATGAGCCAGCCTTGTTTTTTTGATGATCCTAGATTTTATTCAAAAAGTATATTTCGTTTGATGGATACAATTTTTTGGAGTGAAGAATCAGGCGAAATTATTTGCATCTTTTGCAATTACCTTTTACTTGCTTCGTTTAAGGAAATTCTATTAAGTAGCTAAGTAAGTTGGTGACTTTTTAAGTTTTTATGAAACCCCTGCCACATGAGGTGTGCATCGGGGATGCAGGCAGAAATGTTAATTCTTTGTCCTAGGCTTGGGCAATCTTGTCGTCGTTAAAAAATCTGATGATTTGTGATGGCTTTAGTGTGCTTTCTTTTTTTTAAAAAAAATGTTATCTCCTGATTGCATAATGTTAAAGAGTTATCAGTTAAAAAAATTTGCAACAAAATCGAAGTCTCAAAATTCACATGATTCAACCAATTTGTGTTACTTACTTTTTATTTTATTCTCTTCTCAGGGTGAAAGACTAAGTCATGCTGTAGGCTGTGCATTTGCCGTTTGTTTAGAGAAGAAGCAACGTAGAGACAAAGAATGTGGTGTCACCATGAACTTTGATACTACGAACTCAACATTCACTCGACAAGGCAGTTTTCGACAAGCCTCCATCACAGATCGGTTACCTGATCCCCCTAATATCACCAATTTATCCGATCAAATCAACTCCAACAATATTCCATTTGAAAAGAACATCCTGAAAGAGAGCAACAAACAAGGTATCTTATATTATACCATCTTTAAATTTTTCCCTTTTTTATTAGCTGCAATAAAATATAAAATACAATCAAACTTGTCAAGATACACTATACTATAGGTATGGACAATGTGACGTCGCAAGTCGTTCTGTCTTTGCCGTGCAGTTCAAAATGAGATTTTGGCAGATCTAGTAGCTTCTATAAGCTATCAAATGAATTTAAAAAGTTGATGAAACTGAAAAAAACGAAAAACTCAACTACGAACACAAAAAAATAACATGAAATTGATGAGACCCACTCTCAGAGCAGAAAGTGAACAAGTTTTCAATATGGCGTCGCAGTCGTACCATTGGACGCTGTCAAATCTACGCGTTTCGACAACTTTCTAAAATTCCATTTGTCCATACATGTAGTAGAGTGTACCTTGCAAACTTGTGGACGCACCCTCTTACTTCTGATCTCTGTTGTGTTTAGTCTGTCAAAGCTGCTCAACAGCTGAAAAGTGTGATTTTGCGAGTTTAATCGACAGTTGTTCAGACACTTTCCTGGAAACAAATGCATTACATGAAAAGGTCCTTAATGGGAAATCATAGAGGTGCAGATTGCAGAAAGCCCCAAAACGCTTAACTCCACTGCTCTTCTCAATATTTGTTTTAGAAGTTTTTAAAAGCTTGTCATCCTTAAGAGGTCGAGAAGAACACCACATCAAAACTTGAGACAAAACTTGGGTAGTGTCGAATTCCATGGGTTTCTACACAGGGTCCTTTGCAAGATCAATAAAGATATCATAATCACTCTTTCAAAGTCTGTAGATAGGAGTGACCACATGTCTGAAAAAAGTCCCTCACGACTTATTCAGTTTGAAAAAAAAAACGAGCTAATTTTCGCATTGTCCAACTGGAAGTGTACAGAAATATGTTGTTCAACAAGAAGACGGAGATATAACCAACCCCACTAATATAATAATCAGCAGTTCAACAGTGAAGTTAATATTAAAGTTGAAGCATAAGTTTGTATATTCCAGGGCCACCTACAGGTCAGCGTTCAAATGAGCAATGAACATAACCCATCAATATCTTAAATTTTGAAATTAGCTTAATGCATTTTATTAATCACAGTTTCAGAAATCATTCCCACTTCCAAACCTGTTACCACTACTCCTATGGGAATCATAAATCCGCCGGTTGCGCCGGTAACTCCAACCTCAGCGCAGCATAATCCTCATGCGATTGAGCGACCGCACGCCACACCTTCCATGCTACAACGACAGGGATCATTCAGAGGATTTTCTCGATTGAATCAAGCCTCTCCTTTCAAAAGACAGTTGTCTCTCAGGATAACGGATCTACCCTCCAACATAGAGCGCACTAAGAATTTACAAAATTTGAACGAACCGAAAACACCTGCACCATTAATTCATTTAAAAACCCCTGGTGAGTGTGATCAGTTATTTTTCCCTGTTGTGTTTTCCAACGGATCATGCATATTAGTTTACATTGAAACCATGGTGTCCCTTAATTTTTTTTGCAATGATGTTGAAGAGCATGTGAAGCTACATGAGGAACCTAGGCGGTTTCCCTTTTGCCTATGCTGAAAGGAAGCACAGGTTCAGAAGCAAAACTCAAACAAATCCCTATTTGGACTGAAATGATCATTGTAACCTTATCTCGAAATTTTTGATGTGGATTTTGGAAATACATTTTTACTGGCAACATTCTTGTGAACGTTTATTCAGTGAGCTATCTCTAAGTCGAAGTAAATTTAAGATGAAATTTCATTTCAGTCAAAAATTCCTTCGACCCTGCCACAAGTTGCAATGTGGAAAAACTGTGATCAAATCAAATTCATGGCTTTTGTCGCAGAGGGAAAGCTGCTCAGGTAGAAGAAAAATTTGCAAAAAAAACTCTGACAAAACTTTATTTTGTACGTAAAAAATCAAGGGACTGAAACGATTTCAAAGAAAGAAACGTTTCAAAACAAGATTTCTGATGACTTACCTGTATGTATGGAAGCCTTAAAAGCTGTGACTTGTAATGTCTATCTATGATTTGTTAAAAGTAAAAAGATAAAATTTGAAATTCAGTCCATACATTTTTAATTTAATTTTAATTTACATTTGAATTAAAAAATGACCTCATTTAAAAACTCTCTTGCGTTTCTATGTTAACAGTGAGTCCTATTCCCGAATCTTCACCTCAAAGTGATTCTGTTAGTGCAATGTGTCAGCAGCTAAGTTTTGGTTTATCCCTGTTGACAAACAAAGATGATCTCTCCCTAAACAACAACAATCAGGTATTATTTATTTCATTACTTATTATTATTTTTTTTTTCAAGCTGTTTCTATCCTCCTATATCATGTATGTATCATCCTATATTCTTTCATAATTGGAGAAAATACACTCATTTGTGACTCAACTTGGTATCTGAGAGAGACCAAATCGGTTGGACTTAAAATTTTTAACCATGTTTGCATCGAAGTTTATCAATAATTGATATCAGCACCATAATCCCAAAGAACGGTTGTTCTTGGGAAAAAGCATATTAATTCCCAACGTAGACAAATTCACTGAACTTCATAATCTGATCTTAAAGTTTTATTGCACTTATATAGTCAGAAATTTTGTACAGTTTGAACAAGGTTGGCATGTTGAAAAGATCAAGAAGAAAAAACGGATCCATTTTAATCAAACGTTTAGTCAATATTTTAGATCACTGTTGCAGCTCATGACCTCGTGCCAAAATAAGTCGCTTCAATATTTTCCCCCCTACATTTTTCTTTTCTGTTAACACTCTGTTATGTCATTCGAAGTCAATGTTGTTGACAGTGGTAATAAGGAAACATTCTCCATCTTAATTTTTTTATGACTCACCTTTTTCCTTTTTTCATTTTTTTGCAGAAAAATTCTTCGACTGCTTTACTAGATGACATTTTCTCCAACCCTCCTGTGATGGAAACAGTATCAAATCCTGCAATTACGTCCGTGTTACCAGGTTCGCCTTTTCTCATCATTCCCATATTTTTCTTCTCTAGCAAGTGAGGCTCCAAATCTCTAGAGGGAGGAAAAATCACAGACTTGGAAATGCATCGTTTCTAATCTGTTTTGTGCCTGCTAAGTAAAACTTGAAATCAGAAGTTTGCAGAGCAAACTCTCCTTTTAATTGAAGGTTATTTTATTTGTCTGTCAGTTTGTGAGGAAACAAAAGATCTCCTTGATTACCAGTAGGACTTCGCAACATTTTAATGGCATGTGTACAAATGCAGAGAAATTCACTTTTCAGCCCTGCTTTTCTCTATATTAGCACATAAATAGTTCAGTTTTAAAAGCTGATTGCTCAAGGCCGTAGGAAATATTTCAAATAATTTATAAATTTAATTGGCGCTGAATTTATTATTAGTGTATGTGTTATCCTTTTATTCCATTCACTCCTAATGTTGATTTTTGACTCTATACCTTTGGAGATAGTTTTCTTCATTACGTGATAATTTTTTTTTTCAGAAGCTCCAAAAATCGAGCGGCCTTCGACTGACGTATCGCTAAATATGACGCCACAGCATCCTGTCCCTGTGAAAAGCACAAATCCATTCGTATCTAGCAGCCCAATGTTGCCTCGACCCCTCCCCAGACAAAACACAAATCCATTCATAACGAGTAGTCCGACATCCAACATTAGTTCTATAAAAGTGTTTGAAGCGCATCTGTAGATCGGTCTCCTTTTAGCTTGAATTTGTGCTGTTATCAACCGTGTACTTAATACGATATTCAACTTAAAGGTACTTATTTCCTTATGCATTCGTCATCGGGACTTTGTTTAGTTCATTCTGTTTGTATATATCATACAAATTATGTTATATTTCTAATTCGTTTTTGCAAGTTCGAAGTTTTATCAAATGTTGATGAATATAAATTATTTTGACGGGCGTTGTAGTATGTCTGAACACAGTTTTTTTTTCTTTTCTTTTTTCTTTGGCATGATTGGAGGTCTTTCAAGTTTTTGAAGTAGTTTTATTTGATTCCTTGACTAAAATCAAAAACAAAATGCATTTATTTTAACAATCATGCTTGATTCAGCCATTACTACGATTGACTTCTCTGTCGAGTCCCCTTTTAACATCTTCATCATTTCTCTAAAATTTTGCCCTCAAGTTTACTCCTTTCCTACCCGTTTCAGCTTTTCCAGCGATTAGAAATCAATGTCGCAAATTGATCTGACGCTTCCACTATGTGTGGCTCAGCGAGAGGTCTTGCTCAATTCTAATGCTTTATGTTAATTAAATTAGTAGCAAGTATTTTCAACACCATACTTTAAAAAATATTGTAACTTACAATAAAATATCGTATTTTAGAAAGATGTTTTAGGTTAATGACATTGTTTTGCAACATTCGGGCCCAGCAAACAGTCTGAGAGAGAACTTTTGAAAATTCTAATTTGTTGAAAGGTAACATTACTTACCAGGTCACTTCCAATTATTGTCGTAATTTAGGTGTGGCTTTGGGTTAATGAAGTAGCAAATCAAAAAGTTAGAACATGGATCTGAAATATTGTATCGACGCAAGGTTGTAAATTTAGAAGAAGAAAAACAGTCAATCATCACAATTTTTTCTTGGCTGTAGCACTTAATGAAAATAAGAGTCGGTTATTCTGGATGAAAAAAAAGATAAAGTAAAAAGATGCCTTGTTTTACAGCTAACCGATTTTTGTCCTGTTCATGTAACTCGTAAAAAAACTCAATCATTTTTTTTAAAAAGCATTTTCAAAAATGCCAGGATTTTTTATCCTATTGTCTTTCAGCCATTACGTTTGCATTAGAATGAATTCACCATCTTTTTAAGCTTGTGAATTTTTAATCAGTTGTATAAAAATCACACAAATTTATAAAATCCTGAAACAGCACCGATAAGATATGTTTCTGTAAGCGGGAGATGATGATGATATGTGGTGAGACTAGTATCACAGAACTCGCTCTTCTGAAGCGTTTTGACTTGTGTATTTTTTATTTTCTGGACTTGATTTTCATATTAGGACAACGATTTAAGAAAATGACAACGATGAAAAGAAAGTTGAAAATGTGAGGCATCTTTGAAAATAGATCGTAGATATTGCTTCTACTTACAATGCATATTTTGGTAGCGCGTCACTTGGAATTTGTCATTTTGGCCAGAAAATTGCTCCAATGTCATAGATTCATTTCTCAAAATCAGACACCTTGGGTCGCTTCGTTCTGAGTTTTTCTAGAATACCCTGGTACGATTTTTGCTGTTGCGGCTTAGGTTTTTTCCTTGTAAATCATTGTGTTTAAAATTGTTTTTAAACGTCCTGTCTGTGATCATGTTTTGAATAGATTTGTTTGTATTGCTCGATTATTATTCTTATTTTTGCTTTACTGCTAATATGATTTCAATTAGATGTCGTATAATCCATACCAGAATCATTAGAGTTGGAGCTTTAGTTGAAAATAATATTAAATAATAAGAAAGACTGGTGGCTCTACATGCTATTGTCTTACTCATAACATTATTTTTGAAGTTTTATCCTCAAAAATCTTGTGGCTCTAGCCCATACATACAATCGCCCACTTACCATATGGCAACCTTGATTTTTACTTTTACCACAGCGAATTGATGGTGAAGCTGCAGAAATGCGTATCTCCGTTTTTGGCGTTGAAGACCTCCCATCATACTTTATTTTCTACATGGGAAAATATTATAAAATTTCTTGAATACTTTGGTGATCTTGCTTCTCAATGTGAAAAATATTCGTTAAAAATTTCAGGCCGTGATGTTAGTGCGGTCTTCTTTTTAAAAAAAAACAGAAGCGAAGATTTTAAAGTACCCTTACCGAGATATGCATTTTTGCAATTCCTTTTATTCTTAGCACTGGATGTATCATCTTGGATCCTCGGTGGTGAGAACAATATGATGATTCTAGAAATTAGGTACAAAACTAGGAAAAGTTTTATCCTAAATTATTATTTTCATTTCTTAGTATTTTGCCAGCAACTACATAGGTTTGATGTGAATTAGAAATCGTACTAATCGGGGACATTTTTTTTCCTTAAATATTTTCCAATAGGTATGTTTGACATTCTAACAGACTGCTTTTTTGTGTCTGGGTGATGACGTCAAAGCTCTTTCACAAAGAGAGAGTTAGCATTTCCTATCAAAATGGTTCTCTCCCCTTCTTTTGTTTTCCTAATTAAGAAACTTAGTTGATCAGGAAGGAACTAAATCGCATTCAGAAAAGTGAAGAAACAGGAGTCTAAAGTCTTCCTTCATAATAAATGACTGGAATCCTTTTTGGCTTTGTTGTAAGTTTTTTGCAAGTAAAAGTAATTTACTAGTCCAGATCAATATCACTCTTAACTTTTATTTTTCAAATGTGACTTTGTTCGTCTCTGGTGAACTCCGCCTGAATCTTGACTCATTGCTATTGCAATGGTAGCATGACCAGACAGAAGAGTGTATTTATTAATTGCAAAACATTGTGATTTTACATTATTGAGTAACGTGAACTTATATTTTTTAAAGGAAAGTGTGGAGACTCACATTTTCATCAGTTAGTTTAAAAAAATTGTCAATAGCAAAATAATTATTGTTCCTTCAGGTTAAGAATCTAATCGGAAGAACTGGAAGTTCATAGAAACATCTTAAAGTGCTAAATTCCCATTTTGTCTCAGGCCTTGGTTCCATCGATGTATACTTGGCTTCTTTTTGTGAGCGCTTGCTTGCGTTCATTCAATCATCATACGCTACTCTTATCGCTCTCTATTAGAATTAATCTGTGACGTTAAAGGCTTTTAGCTTTCAAAACATTTCATAAAACTGAATAAAAACGTCAGTTTTTACTATGTAATACTTTCTCATTAAGTTTTATGCTCCTCTCATGAAATATTTTTTGAATGTCCTGATAAGCATGGTTCAAAAATGGAGAATTTGCACAAATAATTTTTATTGCCTCATCTGAGGTATATTTTATAATTTTCTTCTGACCTAGAAAATTGTAGAGGAACAGATTTAAAAATTAGAATATTTACCGTTTTGTGAGTGCTTGTGACGTCATTAGGCAGCACTGCCCATTTAAACACATGTATCTCCGCAGATTAGATCATTTCTTCGTATTTCCTGCAATAATTTTTCAGTTTAGAAACCAAGCATATCCTTTTGCTCAGTTCCCCTAGTAGCTCCCACTTAAACATGAAATTCATAAAATTTTGGACACCTGCAAATTCTCCATCATTTCCTAGAAAATGAGCACAAAGCTTTTTATAACCTTACCCATAATCATCAGCCAAAGAACTCAAATTCTATCAGTTTATGTTGTAATTTAAAGAATATTTGATATTCACTTGTTCTTTTTAAATTTAAAAACCGCACAACAACAGTATGTTTTGTACTGTTCCTTACCTGACAAAAGAACATAACTTCATTTCAACGTTGCCAAATTTCCTATACCCAGAAACTATTCAACAATTTTTACTGAAAATTTCACAGGTTCATTTAAGAAAGCAAAATTTCGGGCACCCACTGTTCTGTCATTTTTGTGTGAGGGAAAGGATAGTGAAAGTGAATTCTGTAACTTTGAAACGGAGATATTCCTTTGTCTGGGGAACAACAATTTATTAGCCAGGCAGTAGTCATTAGATATTCCTGTTTCAAGTCACTCTGCAAACGTCTAGTTGCTGAAACAAGCATTCTTGGAACTCGCATTAACGTAGGAAGTTGAATCAGTCACAGCATTTGCATTTTGATCGCTAGCTCTCTCTTTTGGTTAAGGTAAAACGAGTGTTCAGTGCTAATGGTACGGATGCAGTTGCATCCCTGAACTTTGTTGTACTTAAAATTTAAATAAGGTTCCTAAATTATGTGCTTTTGTAGCCCTCATTTGTACGTACTTAGATGTTTCCCAAGTGCTTACAGCTCGCATTGTAAGAAATATTTTTAATGAGCCATATTAGCTATCACGGATCAGAATTCTTGATTTGGTATATCAAATCCCCTAAAAGCTGTCATAAATCATTTTTGGTAGAATTTTTTTGTTCTGTTCTACTTTTAAATGAACAGTTGCAGCAAGGTCAAGAAGAGGATAAAACGTCTATAACCCAATGGTAATCATTCCTCGTATGTACGGAAAAAGCTATAATAATTAGAATAATAGAAGGATTAACTTTTTCTCTCCCTTTAGAGCAGAATGGATGATCGTCCATCAATTCCGCAAAAATAGAATAAAACAGACTATTTCTAAAAATTATTATCTCAAATTTTTCAGAAGTAATAGTTTGCTTATAAATCACCTCCTACATTTTTCCTAGCCACTTATCGCTTTTTCTGTTCTGAACGCATTTGTTCTCTTGCATTATTCTTTTCTCCAATAATTCGATACTTAAAAATGAAATTTTTGCTCTAACATATTTAATTTTGAGTACTTTTTTCTAAGAAAGGTTATATTTGTTTGATTGTATATAAATGAAACAATTTTATTTTTATCAAATTTGTTGAAGTAAATAACCAACGGCATTTTCGCCTAAATGTCTGCTGGGAATAAATTGATTGAATGATCGGGTTTTGAAATTGTTCACAATGCTCTGTTACACACTAAAAATTGAGTAAAAAACTACTTTGAGTGTGAACTATTCTTTCTGCTTGCAAATTTAAGGGTATCCTTGAGCTCGATTGTGATCAAGCAATTCGAGCTGTGTAAGCTCACCGCAAAATGAAGCAATAAAATCAAAGAATTACACTTTAGACATATTTGAAGTTCGTGACGGAAAGAATTGAAAAGAAAAAGGATAACCTCAAGCTTTATTAATTTTAAAAGCTTCATTTGAATTTGTTGAATTTCTATTTTCGTATTATATTTTACTGTATTTGTTACTACGTGTCTTTTGTGTCATTGAAGCCTTAGAAATAAGGAATATCTTTACAAGTAATACAGTAAGTTATTATCCAAGCCTCCTTAAATGTTAGAGAGTAGTTAGACTGCAGTTTGTTGTATTTACGTAGCCATCATTGTCATCAGGAGCGCGTTATTGTAATTTTATAGAAAAGGTCGTACAAAGTGTTATGATGCTATTTCAATCATTCGAGGGTTTTGGGATTGAGCCCATATTGTTTTTTCTCCCCTTTTTTTATATTTTTAAAGAAATTATCAAGATACCCTCAAGAAAATAAGTACAATGTTGCAGTGAACTTGGGATCCCAATTGCCTATCATCCATTGCCAAACGGTTGGCATCGTTAGAGTCCGTTTGAATTACCTAATGACTTGCATGTTTTCATATGAATGCCCAAGGTTTCTATCAAAGGCTCATCAATCTTAAGAGCTCCATGAGGTCGTCAAGTTGCATTTAGTGAACAGAAGAATCAAACTGTATCAAATAAGTTTACTTTGATAAAATACTTAATCAGCTGTCATGACATGAAGGCCTCCATTGGTAACCCCAGTTAATATATCTCATAATTTACTGGATGAAGGATAGTTATGAATTTATGGTAAGAGAACGAAAAATGTGTCGTGTCTCTTCATGACCCTCGAATGAGAGAAATCGGATTTACATTGCCTGAAGGTTATGAGGAGCTAAAGAGGTTTTTCGACTTAATTAATCCGCTTGGATCAAACTACTTCATAGCTTTACATTGTCTGCTCCAGTTTCTCAGAAAATAATTTTTTCAATGTGATACCTGTTTTGAAGAAGAATCGCAGGCCTTATGTGTGAATCTATTGAAGCATTTCCTCATTAAAATTTTGCCGTGGTCGTGATTCCAAAACAATGAAACTAAGTAGGAGACTGCAATATGAATCATGGAGGTCTTCCTCTTGAGTACCGTTGGCTTTATTATGGGAGGAAGTAAGCTGATAGAGGATAGTTGGGCGAATTATTCTGTCCAGTGAGATCAGAGCTAGGTTTCAGTGAAGTAGATGGAACAAGGTGCTATTCAGAAATGTCCCTAGCCCACCCCTTTACATTGACTTATGAAGGTAGTTTTTGAACTTTTTGTATCTTAGCTGTACTGATTAGTGGCACACCAGACTCCGCATTCCTTTGAATCTAATTCTGTAGCCACTAAAGAGAAAAGCACAAATAAATGGTCTTAAAATAAAAAAAAAAAACAGTTTATCAAGTAAGGAACATACACTAGTAAATTCCATATTTTTTTGTTCTAAGTAGATTATGATGACTGGGAGCTAAAACATTTTTTATAAGGATTTTCATACGTATTTTATTCAACTAGCTATCGCACACATCTGGGGCAGATAGACTGCATAATTTTATTCCTCCATTTTCATTTATTTCAAATTTTTTGCTGCTGTCTCGTTTACCTATGTATTTAAATGATATTTCACAAAAACGTTTCAGTCTCAAACATATCAAATTTTTTTTTACGTATCGTGTTAATGTGTTAAACTCTAAAATGCATCATTCCTTGTGTACCTAAATATACCTTTTAGCATCTCTGTAGTCTTTTTTGTCAGAATTTAAGCTTTAACACTATATTAGTCATTAAATACGATAAACATACATATCAAAAAGAATGTTTTCAAACTGCATCAACCTTTACGGAAAAAGGTAATTTTTACTTAAGTCTGCTGATGCCATAGCTGGATATCTACTAAGGAAATTTTTTCTTTTTTTAAAGTTGTCTGTTCCTTGTTCCTTTTATTTTTGTATTTACTTTCTTATATTTTTTTATTTTTATTTTCTTCGTTTATTATTTTTTTTTATTATTTTTTATTTATTTATTTATTTTTTTTTTGTAAGTGGAAGGAAGGTTTTTCAAAATTTTTGCCCTCAAATTATTGGGAAAAGTGTATCAAATCCTCATTTTCGAGAGAAAGTTGTGTAAATTAGAAAATATGAGTAGACTTGTGGCATATTAGCTCACCTCCTTGATGTTTAAGGTTATTCCGGATTACTTCAAGCTACTTTTTTTGATGCTGGAAATGATATTGCATTATTTCCATTCTTACTCTCCGTATTGTTTAGAAAAAGCATGTATACTCATAATGAAACATAATGAAGAGCTGTAGCAAATTCTCAACTCAGTTTGAACAGTTTAGCTTAGAGCTGTCAGATACTTTTTCCAATGGCCCAATTAGAAAATTATTCTGTCTAATTTAGTTGCGCCGCTTGACTGGTAATGAATATCGTTTGTGTCTTGAAGTTTTTTCGTACGAATCATTTTTCAAGGAAAGGATGAATTTGTTAGCATCTTTTTGTGAATTATCAACAGTATGACCATTTTACGATAATCTCTTAAATTCAAATGATAAAAGTTGAATGAAATTAGGTTTTTCTTCTTTAGTTCGATAGTGGAATTAGCATCAGTCCATCCTATCAAAATTTGTCTCCTTACTAATGTGTAGGAACAATTTTTTGAATTGCTTCTCCTTGTAGTAAGAGGATCAGATGTATTGTATACGTCTCCTGTTTCTCAATCATGCTGGACTTTAATTAACAGCCTCAAGGGGGCGTCAAGCAGGCTCAAATAAGTTGAAGATCTATTCCAAGGCTGAGCATCATAACTCTCATGATTAAGTTATTGTTTTTCAAATGTCTCAATTGTTTTAGTGACCGTATTATAGCGTCATACCTTTAATCGAAAAAGCTTCACATACTTGGACTCGGAGCCTGTGTTCAAATCTGTGTAATTTCAGCCTTTTAATCTGTTAAGTGCAATGAACTATGATTATTTCTTTCTTCCTTCCTTCCTTCTCTATCTTTCTTAGGATCGAATTGTAATTGATTAAGCCCAAGTTGGAAGAATTGATTTTTAGTATTTTTTCACGGAACATTGTCGAGGAGAACTTTAACTCAATTTATGCGGATCTTCTTCATTTCGTCCTTCACTCTTGCGTCTTGGGGTTAGTTGATTAAGTAATTGTTTCTGTAAATTTTATATTTTCTTCTTGTTTAGTTGTTGTAAGCTTATTTCTTTTTTATTTTTATTTTTTACTTTTTTATTGTGAATAAAAAATATTTTTGTACATACTTATCGACAAATGAAATCAACATGTATTTTAGTTTGTATATTACTTTTAGAAATGTTATGTTTTTAAGTTTTACGTAATAAATATGACATCGGCCAAAAGTATCATACTTTGTTCTTCTTTTGCTTTAAAACCAGAAACCTGACATAAATGGTAGATATATTCTAGTATAAAGAAATCTGTTTCTTAAAAAAGGGAATCGCCAGTCAAATTTGTGTAAATTTTTAGTAGAATTGATCGCTAATATTCCTACAAATCCCATGAAAACGTCCCGTGGAGACAAGGCCCAAGGAACTTCTAAATTTCACAGAGAAAACTTCATAATAAAACTGTTCAAATATCCAAGTCAGAAAACCCTTCTTATTCTAATTTGAATTAAAAAAATGCCACCTTTTACAAGTTTTAATGTCACTATTTCCATGAATATCAAAAATAGTCGTATTTTGTTCGAAAGAACTAATTGTTCCTGTTTTTTTTTTTTGGTTTCTTTTGTTAGATTCTGAACAACCGATGAGGAAGCAAATTCCAATTTTAGGTTAGAAAGCATCGTTGTCATGGGCAACAACATAAAAACGACTTGCCTCTGCGCACATTACAGTTGTTGTACAACAATGTTGCTGTAGAGTGTAGGGGCTCCCAAATTTTGAGCACAAAAATTAGCCCCGCCCCCTACAACACAAAACAACTTCGAACAAAATGCGATTGTTGCTTGTTTTCCCAACATGTTGCGAGTGCTGCCTCCGAACAAAATACGACTAATGATCATTGCATTCTCTGCAGTTAATATTGTTTTCAGCATCAATTTGAGTGGCTTTCAGAATTTTGAAAGTTTTGATGCCAATTTTCTTCATAAAACTTTTTTTATCATGTATTTCACGTAGATATTACTGAAACAAGAAGAAAGCAGAGTTTTCCTAACTCATGCATGTTAACGACGTGGACTCCAAATAACGTATAAGTTTTTGCTTAAATTAGGAAGAACTTGCAGCTACAGAGCCGGCTCTGAATTACCTTCCCATGGACTAACTGCAAAAATCCAAAATTCATAAACTACATTGAAAGGGTGGCTTATCCTCTATTTTTTTAAAATACAATTTACTAGGTACACAGTTTGGGCAACTGTTCTACCAGACCAGCTGAAGTATTTTAAGTTCATCAGTAACTGAGATCTATTGTTTAAAAGTCTCACCATCAGTATTTTATGCTGAAATTAGAGAGAAATGTATTAGAGGGGTTTGGAGAAGTATAAGTTCATAAGTCCAGTTTCTAGTCTGTGGTTATATCTAAAATTTATTTTGTGAAAATTTTATCAGTAACATCCAATTATTATGCATCAGAATGTGAGTTCGAACTTTCTTTCTGCCTTAAGGCTCCACGTAATTTTGAAATTGCATGTATTTCTCGAAATAGCAAAAACTGCGCATTTATGTGCCTTGTCCTCCCAGCCCCTCATTTTAGTTAACACTACTGCAAAGTATTCTGTCATTGATTTCCATGGAGAAATATATTATCCACCTATACATTGCTTGATGGCATGTTGCCTTTTTCTGCCCCATCAATAAATGCATTTTTGTATACCTACCTTTTTAAAAAATGTCAAATGGTGGGTTTATGAAAACTTACCAAACGCGTTATCAACATTGGATCTGTATAAGTTGAAAATTAGTGATATCCACTGTCTGGTATCATTGGAACTTGTAAAAAACAAGTCAGATTATGAAATAAGATGAGTTACTTATAAAATCCTCAAGCATAAATGTCTGCATAAAAAATCCACGCATAATCAATATGTCAACAATAAGTCTTCGCATTAATTGAGTAAGATAGGAGATACGCCAGCTTCATGATAAACCTATTTGGCGTGGACTCTTTTCTTTATTCGTCAGGCATCAATCGAAAATTCAGCATTAATCTTAATAACTGATCGCCCTTCAGAAAGATTTTTGAAAGTGACGTTTCATTCAATCAGCTCCATATCGTCACCTTCCGATCGAAGTATCACAAGCGCCATGCAACGTTTAAAAGTTCCCGCCGCCATTTTATTTTTTTACAGAGAAATTGTTGGTTGAGGCCAAAGACGTTGAATGTTGAGGCTGTCCGTAAATTTCACCGAATGTTTTTTTTTTGCTGCCGATAAAATTCAGCAAAATTTTCAAACAGATTAAACTAACAATTTCTCTGAAAAAAATTTTAAGGCGGCGGAACTTTTTAAACGTTACATGGCGCTCGTGATTCTTTAGCCGGAGGGTGACAATATGACAAGGTTCCGAGTATCCAGGAGGAAGATGACCTTTTCTCTGCATGTTATGTATAAGTATAACGGTTTCCTTTTCCCGCGAGTGGCAAAATTTTACGAAAAATAAAATCGTGAAATTTTACGTGAAATGTTTCATAAACTTCACTAAATATGAAAAATATATCTCAACTTGCGGATTATCAGCCCATACCAGATGGATTTTTTGTGTTCTTTGAGCTATTTTTCTTCTTTTTTTTACCGAAGAAAGAACCATGGTCTCTGATTCTAAATCTTAGTTATTAGGATAGTTATTTTTGTTTTGTATGATGAAAATTAGATGGGAGTCTTAAATAATGACGCAGCGTCTAGGTGTCGCAGCGATTTCAGCGTTCGTCCCACCTGTTAGAGTTGGCAGGGCGGTCAAGACATCCTCGCAGTTTGACGCGCCTTCAATCCGGCGAAGCTGCAACATGCTTACACCCGTGGTCAAATAGTTGTATGTCACGCCTGCCGTAAACGAACTCAAATATCGATGGTTCCATGCGAAAAGGAGCTTATTTCCCTCGATTGCAACGTTGCAAACCACATCTAATGCTTCAATTTCAATTAATATTTATTTAAAGATACGCACAGATTCTCTGAGAAATTTACAATAATATTATGAACGATTTTCATTGAAGTCACGGGAAATTTCGTCGCGATATTATATTAAGTCCTATTTTCCTTTTTTTCTTTTTACCTAAAAAAAAACCACGGTCCCTGATTTTAAATCTTAGTTATTAGGATAGTTATTTTTGTTTTTGATGATGAAAATTAGATGGGAGTCATAAATAATGACGCAGCGTCTAAGTGTCGCACCGATTTTAGCGTTCGTCCCACCCGTGAGGTTTGGCAGGGCGGTCAAGACATCCTCGCAGTTTGACGCGCCTTCAATCCGACGAAGCTCAACATGCTTACACCCGTGGTCAAATAGTTGTATGTCACGCCTGCCGTAAACGAACTCAAATATCGATTGTTCCATGCGAAAAGGAGCTTATTTCCCTCGATTGCAACGTTGCAAACCACATTTAATGCTTCAATTTCAATCAATATTTTTTAAAAGATACGCACAGATTCTCTGAAAAAATTTACAATAATTTTATCAATGATTTTAATTGAAATCACTGGAAATTGCGTTGCGATATTATATTTAGTCCTGGTGTTAGTTGGTGTGGGTTGCATATATCCTGCCCCTGAAATGGATGTTTCATATGTCTCTCAAATTTAACAGCATTGTAAATTTTCATGGAATAATTCACCTACATCTCTAATCTTGTTAAGTTTCTCTCTTTTTGATGCCGCCTTCTTTTCTGGCCAGCGCGGAGGCCCTCAAGAGTCCGTCGATTTATATTTTCCCGCTTCTTCCCGCAAGGTAGGTGGAAGTTGATTGGTTGATGCGTTTTTGTATAACTTCTAACTCTGGCAACACTGAGCAAGTGAGAGCCGAGCGATTTCAAAATATAACCTCAAACAGTTCATGAGAAAAAAAAAAAAAAAGAAACAAGACGAAAAAAGATACTAGAACTAAAAGAATAAATCAAGGGAACATTGTGATTTTGTGGAAAGCTTTAAAACTTTCGGCTAGAGTAGCAGTAGTTTCTTCGGCGTATTCTCTGGAATCAGGACTCCAACATCATTTTCATCCATTTCTCGTGCATTTAACCTGCATCCTGTGATGATCCGTGTTGCTGAAACTCTTCAATCGCCCTGCACCATCTCCAAGTCGCTTTTTTCTCTGTGATTTGTCGAAAAATCTTTAGAGATCATCGAAAGAATCATGGCTGTAAGTAATTAAAAGTGCTACGAGCACAATAAAGACCTGATGTTTTGAAGGTTGGGTTATCGTTTGATGAGTAGAAATGAAACCGGACAAGCGCCATCAGATGTTGTTTGAGGTTGTAGCGTTGCCTACGGTTGTAGATTCAGTGTTTTCATGCTGCATGTCTCTGCTCGACGAGAATTTTGCTAAAGTTTCCAAAGAATTGGTCTTGCTTTCATGAACAAAATAGTCATTCTTGGCTGCGGGATTCCTATTAAATGAGAGCAACAAGCGCTAAATTTTAGCAACTGGATACGTGCTAGAGGGCTCATGATTGAAAATTGTATGCAACACGATGAGACATTGAAATGTGTTATATTGCGTAGATAAGTTGGGGCTTTACCCAGTCTTGCCATGGATTTAATAATCGAGCCACAGGTTTTACATCATTTGTGCCAACCGCTCAAAGATGAGAAATCTACACAAATCTACAATGTGAAAACATAAGATGCGTACTTATGGTAATCAATCACTAGCTATTTTGATACCTTATAATATCAGGAATATTGACTTCTGTAACAGATTTTAACTAGACTCAGTTCCATCGCTGTTTGATGAAGGTTTTTTACTTCAGGAGAACGACATATTGTGGTATTTCTTAGCTAATTATACAGGGTTGTTCAAAAGTCTCGCACCGCTGGCCATAACTTTAGTTTTATGAAGATACCGGTTTGCGGTTTGTGGCGTGTTTCCTCCTAAGTATTGAGAGGGAAACATTTTAAGGCACTTTCCAGTTTTTGAGCCCCTCAGGGAGAGGGGGGGTTGCTACTCAAAAATTTCAAATGGCTACCATCATGGCCAGTGGTGCGTGACTTTTGAATAACCCTGTATACTACTGATTCATCATACAATTGAGTGATGAGTGTAACCGACAAATTAGTATTTGCTTACTACATTGTCCTAGGAAGGATGCTCTGCTCATCAAAGAAGTCCAGCTTACCTTACTTTTGACTCGGCAACTCTTAAAAATATCTTTGCTTGTCTCACCTTTTTCCCCCTTTTCTGTTTTCTAGTTGAGGTTTTTGCCGAAAATACCTCTTCAGGTTTTTACTGGGAAATTAATGTCCAGATCATTTTCCACATCAAAAGTATCGCTGGACAAGATTTATGAGCCAGATTACCTGAAGCTTATGGAGTCTCCTATTCCGATGTACGATCGATTGAATATTCAAATCAAAGGTTATGACTATCCTGTCCTCGAAAGTTATCAAAAGTTTGTTCATCACACTGCAGAAGCTATGTTAATCGATGTCGAAGATGGGTAAAAAATTTGTTTACTCCTTCAGCTGTGGATTTTCCTTCTGTTGCATCATTTTGTGAAATTGATTTAAGATTGAAATGTCTTGTTTCTTTGCATGATTTATAACCTCTATTAGTTACTATCAGTAGCCAATGAGGATGAGCTGAGATTGAGGATACCTAAAACAACCCCAAAAAAAACATTTCAAGAAAAATCAAAAGGCGCATCCAACTAATGCACAGCCATTTTATTCGTACTTACTTAAAGCAATTAATGGACTAACGATGGATGGCTGTCATTAAAACGTTGAAGAGTATCTAGAATCCAAGTTGTAGCTTAGGTAGTTGGAAAATTTTTCATAAATTTCTGTTTGTCTCAACTATTTGTTCAAATTTTCTTATCAGTAGCTATGCTTTTTAAGCTTGACCTGTACCATATGACCTTTTGGCTGATGCATATTAATTTATCTTATACATATATATGTAATACCTGCTTGCACGAGGGAAAGAGTAATTTAGGAAATATAAGCAGGTTTAAGTAACATCCTAAATCAATCTCAAATTAACTCTCTTGTTCTCTTCAGTAAATTAATCTTTATACACAACTTAAACCAGTCTAGGTAATTGGACCATCAAAAAGATATACAGGGTGATCCAAAAGTCCCTTCCACCCCCTCTAACTTTTTACCTAATTGAGGTAAAGATTTGAAACTTGGGGGATATTCCTAGGTCAAAGGGAGCTACTTTTTGGCCCCCCTAAAATTTTCAGGGGGGCCCCCCTTGGGGGGGCAACGGCCCCCAACTTTTAATTTTCAAATGGGAAGACCCCCTTTGTGATAGCTCGTTCGAAAGAGCATAAAAAAAGAAAACTTTTCGCGCAAACCCGAAGTCAATATCTCAAACCGTTTCAAAATGGCGGCCGGTTAAAGTTCAAAATGGCCGAAAATTCACACCGGTTATTTGTCGATGGATTTGCGCGAAAATCGGTATGTAGGGGTATTTTGACACGAGAAAAACGAATTTGACGTTAGATTTTCAAAAAAACCGAAATTTCCAAAATGGCCGCCGGTTAAAGTTCAAAATGACAAAAAATTGATTTTTTTAGAAATCTAAGTTCAAATTTGTTTATCTTATGCCAAAATACTCTCAAATTCCAAGTTTAAGGCAAATCCATCAGCAAAAAACCGAGGTGACAATTTTCGGCCATTTTAAACTTTAACCGGCGGCCATTTTGGAAATTTCGGTTTTTTTGAAAATCTAACGTCAAATTCGTTTTTCTCGTGTCAAAATACCCCTACATACCGATTTTCGCGCAAATCCATCGACAAATAACCGGTGTGAATTTTCGGCCATTTTGAACTTTAACCGGCCGCCATTTTGAAACGGTTTGAGTTATTGACTTCGGGTTTGCGCGAAAAGTTTTCTTTTTTTATGTTCTTTCGAACGAGCTATCACAAAGGGGGTCTTCCTATTTGAAAATTAAAAGTTGGGGGTCGTTGCCCCCCCCAAGGGGGGCCCCCCTGAAAATTTTAGGGGGGCCAAAAAGTAGCTCCCTTTGACCTAGGAATATCCCCCAAGTTTCAAATCTTTACCTCAATTAGGTAAAAAGTTAGAGGGGGTGGAAGGGACTTTTGGATCACCCTGTAAATTACCTTCATTCTATTTGTTTGGCTCTCTATTAATTGAATCAGTACTTTTACAAGGGCAGGAGTTCAATTTTTTAAAATCTTTTTTTTTTTTTTTTGAATTTTTGATACTCTTTTTACCTAATGTTTGCATTCCTGTGTGTTTGTCACTTGCGTTCCAAGAAGCGGACTACCACTGCTTTCTTGAATAACGTGGTAAGGAGAACCAGAGGGTTCAAAAATGCACAAAAAAAAAAAAGATTTTAAATAATGCTTTCTTAAAAAATACTGATTCAATTACACCGCGCAGTTTTATTAAGCATTCATGTGTGTTTAATACCTCAGAAACTGAAGTGTCATATATTAAACTTTATCTTTCTATTTGGTCTTCCTTTGGAAGATATTTAAAAATAATATTGGAATAACGAGTCACTGTTGGTTTCTCACTGTATTTTTACTAATTGATTTTGCTGTTCTCGGTTTCAGATGGGCTTTACCACCTCAACATTTAAAAGTCAAGAAATTTATGCCGAGAAGTGCCATTACAGATAGTGAATATGATCTCAAAATCTATGAACGAAACGTACAGGTAAAATTTCCTGATTTCTGTAAGATCGCGCAACTGGTGAATAAGACGCATGATAAGACGCATGCTAGTGAATCGCCAAAATTAGGCAAAAACTCCCGTTCCTTGAATTGGGAGGCCACAAAAAGCCTCTGGACCATGTGCAATTATTGATTTTATGCCTCGATATACATGGGATTTGACACTAATCTCGAAATTTTTTTTCTTGTCCAAAATCGAGCATAATCAACAGGGGTTGTTGCATGGACCAAAATTTCCAGGTCATAATCGAACTGAAACCAAGCCAGTCCAGTCAAATTTTAAAATCTCAACTTGTTTAGGAGGGTGTATTAAAAACATAACACCTATCGAAATTTAGTTAGCGCACAGATTTATGGTATTCCATGCACAATACTTAAGGATATTCTTTTGTTTATGTGTGTAATTTCAATGAATGTTTCTCTTTGAATTTTGCAGATATCTGATGTGTATAGCCACGATCTAAGTCTGTTCCTAGAAATTATTGAAGCAGCTCTTCCTGAAGGTGTTAAAATGCATGTTCATGAGCATTTACCAGAGCACGAAAAAGTAAGGTATATCCCAGATTCTGAACTGAAACAATTGGAGATTGAATTGGAGGCAATGGGTGGGCCAAGGAGATTGTAAATTTTGTAAGACAGATTGATCAAGCACCCTAAGAGTAAGATGAAGGTATTCTATTTTCTAAGCGTCTAAGTAGACAAGTAACTAATGATTTATCATTGATCATGGATTTCTGTCAAGCAAACAGATCTGTTTCCTCTGTTCAAGAGAAGAGACTTTCATACTTGGTCATGAATTATTGTATGAAACATATCTATTAAAGTGGCAAGGCGTGAATCAACAACTACAAATTGTTTTTTTCTCATTTAAAGCTATGGTAAGGAATCGATTATTGAGTTTTTCATTGTGAAGCGAAATCCCTGATAATCGATCCTTTTCCATAGGTTTAAATGGTGATTTCAAGTACTGAGGTTCCAAGAGCTGGAAGTATGTCACAAGGTTTGACTTTGTACATACTTCTTTTCTTAGAAAACTTTTGCGTCAAAATTAATGTGTGTAAAGTTGGAGACAATCTATCAAACTTGAAATTAATTCTCAATAGCCTGGATTTAATACCCTCTTGCACATCAATTTTGAGCAGTCAGAATATCCATGTATATTTCGATTTCCCTGCAAGATAACTATCCAAAATTGAAGGAAACCTCTCACTTCTCAGTTTGAGTGTTGCATAATTTACCATTACGTTTTTACTTTTTAACATCGGAAGAAATGCTTGTAAAGAGATGGGATTTCAATTGAATATTTTTCATAATTTAATGATATCTTCAGCACTGATCTTAAGTGAATGATCTAGCAGTTTCATCGTAAAAAAAGAAATTGTTGGAGGAGACTCCGAAACATTGTAATGGAGGAATGCCTTTTTCTTATGTAAGGTTGACTTTTTCGCCCCCTTCAAACTTCAATGCTTAAGAAATCACACTTTGAGATTTCAAGAATATAGTTGGTTAGTTTCTTTAGAAAGTAACAAAGGACATTCGTACCGGTGCAATGCTTGTTTGTTCTTTTGGGTTTAAGTGATCGAATCACCTCTGTAAATTGAATATCTAATCCTTTTTTTGTTCAAACTTCGATTTTTTTAAATTATGTTGTTTTGATTATGTTGTCTTGTAAAATTTGGATAAAAAGTAAATTTCAAAAAATAAAAATATGAATGTAGGAATTCTTTTGTCTGATTGTCAATGCAGATTAGCAAACAAATAGCATGAAATAATGACCAGCTAGAAAGGTAACTGTTGGTTTCTAAGATCAAATTGTCCGTCAGAGTAATATCACATATCGATGGCCAAAATACAACACCATGTAACTCATGGCATAACACGTTTAAGATGTTGCAGACTTTCTCTTAAACTTATTTTTTCTTTGGGAGACTAGTGACCATATTTTCTTGAAAACTTGCAAGATTTTTCTTCTTTGTCAGCAGAATATTCTGTATAAATTTCAAGCCATAGAGTTGGCTTGTTTTCCAATGAAAAAGATAAAATTGAGATGGAAATTGTGATATATGGCAATGGATGTGCGTGGTTTTGCACTTAGGCCATTGACATTACTACCTTATAGAAGCGAACTTGGGACCGTTTCTGAGCTAAATTGGAAACAGCAGGTTAAGCCAGGGCTGCAGGATGAAAGCGGAACTGTTTTGGCGGGAAAATTAAAGCTGTAAGCCAAACGAGAGGTGAAGAGGTTCCAAAAATTGGAGTAAAGATGACCGACCGTGCCTTTCTGGTAGTCATTATTCTATGCCATTAGATTATTGTTGATTTCGGACTTCGAGCGAACCAAAGTGGCAGCACTAAATCAACAATACAGATACCCTATTCTAAAAGAGGAACTTCCACAACGTTACCGTGCTAAGGAAGAACGCTGTATGAACATTCAAGAGTCGCCAAATTTCCGTCAATAAGATGCTCATTTTTGAGGAAATTTATGAATATTTTTACTTGAAATTTTCAGAATCTTTAGGTGAAATTGCGAACAAAATTATCTGAAAAATTGGGAGGAAAATATTCATAAGTTGACCAAGAAATTCACGTTTAATCAAAGGAAATTTGGCAACGTCTGAAGGTTCATATGGCGTTCTTCCTTAGCACGGCAGAATGATTTCAAAGGTGCTGGAAGAAATAAATAAACCATTATATTAGTATTGTGCATTGGTTGAACTTTTTTATCACAGACATAGTAAACACATTCAGAGAATTTCAAATTAAGTGTGGTAGACATGGAGAGAAGCTTTCTTTTCAACTTTTCCCACCACTTCCACTCATACGGGTTAAAACTTACTTTAATATCAACTTAACGAAACAGTTAATTAAAACTCGAGTTTATTAAAGGAGAGAGACACCAACAAAGATAAATTTCATGTCATTTGGACCGCCTTTTGCACATCAAGTCGCATCTGCATAGAAGATGAGTCCGAAGAAGTTTTTAATGCTATCTACTCTTGTCAAAAATTCAAGGTCATGAAACAATATGTTGAGCATGAAAATTGTGGGTTAACTGGACCGCGTTTCACAGAAAAGAACCAAGCCACATCAGCTGTTGTCAAATTTAACTAGGTAATTTAATTTTTTATGAAAGAACGTTTGTGTGGATGCCTTTAAAAATTTTCAGCAATGGGCCTGTTGCAAACTTTTGCTAGAGCAAAAATAAGAGTTGTTTCTTATAGATAATGCCTCGAAAATCACAATGAGCGCATCAGCAAAGTCTGAAATGCACTCATAACTTCACAGTCTGCGTAAGAAATTTGCGGTTTTTTGAGCTTCCCGCTTCAAAAACGATACTACGGCACAGGTGAACATTTTGTAAGAGGAGTCGTTCCATCGTCGGCAATAATCATCATGGCCGACGCCAATCCGCCAAAACACGTTTGATGGGACGAGATAACACCTGAACTGGATCAGACCAGATAACAATCGGTGTGTAAACGTTCATATTTTCCACGCCCGAATTGATTGACCTTGAACTCTCCTCGAATTACGCGCGGAACTGCGCGCAAGCGTCGGCCATGATGAATATCGCCGACGATGGAGCGACTCCTCTAACAAAATGTTCACCTGTGCCGTAGTATCGTTTTTGAAGCGGGAAGCTTAAAAAAACGCAAATTTCTTACGCAGATTGTGAAGTTATGAGTGCATTTCAGACTTTGCCGATGCGCTCATCGTGATTTTTGAGGCATTATCTACAAGAAACAACTCTTATTTTTGCTGTAGCAAAAGTTTGCAACAGGTCCATTTGCTTCGTACTATGGAGAAAATCCACTGTAATTTGCACGAAAATCCGCACAACCGTTTTCATGTAAAAAATTAAATTGCCTAATTAAATTTGGCAATAGCTGATGTGGCTTGGTTCCTTTCTGTTTAACGCTGTCCAACTTTTTCTTTATTATCCAACTTTTTCTTTATTATTGAGTCTAATTGAGGGATGTAACTTCAAACCTCTTTTTCTCGCTTTTAACTTGATGCGACTTGGTGCGCTCCTGTTGGATGTTAAATTTGTATGCTAAGATGAACGAACATTGATACAAATGATTACTTTTAGACCTGAGTCACTTCTAGTACTAAGAACCTTTCATTGGAAGGTTGTGATAGTTGTAAACATTAGTTTGAATCAATTTAGGAGATAAATTCAATATTTGTGATACCCTGAATTTCAGAATTACAGTAAGACCTCGATTTATCGGATTTCATGGGACCGGAGGCCGAATCCGTTAAATCGAAATAATTCGAGGTCTCACTGTATTTGACAAGCAAAAAAGGGATAACCAAAAACTTTTCCAGCCCATTATCTACTAAAAACCAGAACAAGAGAAGAGGAGTCTCCTACCTCTCTGTCTTGCATTCCTTTGGGGGGGGGGGGGGGACGACCAAATCCAAACTTTACTTCTCTTCTCTTTTCTCTTCACCAATTTGAGGCATTGTAAAGCTCTTGAGAAAAAGGGGCCCATTCCCATGCACTATATAACTGTCAATTAGGGAAATTGCTGGTCAATTCACTAATTTTTAGAGCCAAGAAAATGTTTCTCCGACTGTTTTACGCATATTGAATTTTTATGCTAAAAAGTCCATGAACTTCAATATAAATTATTTATTTCAGATCTGAGGCTCTTCTAGTGCTTAAAACATAGTTAAAAATAATAGTAAACTTTGAATACCTACACTCTTCATTTAACACTTTTTTTTTAAGTTTCTGCCCCTTTTCTGGAGAGCTGAATTGCCTAAAATTAAAATACACATACTCCACCAGAGAGGAATTTTTGAAGGACCCCTATTCATTGTGCAAGCGGAGGAATACATTTTAATAGAAGCGTCTGTTTCAACCTTCATAATATTATTTTCACCAGTGCGAATAGGAACTCCGCAAAGCCTCCAATGTGTCGAGAGAATAGGTTAGTTCACTAACAACTATTGCAATTAGTAAATCTTAGTTTTAAAAATTTCCCTCCTTCATGGCTTTCCTAAAAAAGAATATTATTTCTAAATAGTAAGTGGCTACTCTACATTCAACTTTACCTCTTTCAAAGGATGAGTCTGAGTACGACCTTGACAGGTCACTTGCCCTACAATTAATTTGTTAAGTGCGGCACATAAAAGTCACCGGGAACAAATGAGGTGAATTACAGGAGACACGTATTTGTACTTTTCATGGTACAAAAATAATCGATGATCATAGACCTTTTTTGTAAGACTTGTAGACATCAAGAAACATTTGTCTGCAGGCCATTTTCACTTTCAGTTTTGCGCAGAGAAGAAACACTCCTGAAAAACAATAATACAAATTTTTAATTCGTATGACTAAAAATAAAGAAAGCTGAACAGAAGAGAAAGTTAAAATCGCCCACATATGTGACATTGTTTTTAGTTACATTAAGAGCTGAGAAATCTTTATTTAGAGGTAAAAGTATGATCGGAAATCATGAAAATTGCAAATCGAAAATTTTCACTTGTAAAATTACTTTTTTTCTTTGGAAATATCTTTTCTTGGAAATTCCCGCCAAAGAGGACGGATCTTTTTTCTTAGATTCTCTAACGTACTCTTAAGAAGGCAAAAACTCCTCACCCGATAGTTTACGATGAAGTGAATAAATTTCCTCAGGAGGGGGGCAGAGTCTGTGAGTAATTATGGTGGGCACCAATTTTTGGATTTTTCCAGTTGTTTGTTGGAGACCAAAATCAAACTCTCCAGCATCTTTATCAAAAACCTCACCGAGGATCATTACGGCATCCACGTGAGATTCTTCCATTATCTGAAAAGATCAGGAAATACAATTGAAAATGATAAAAAAGGATTTAATAACATTCACATTATATTTGGACGGTTTATACTTGAATTAGCCGAACTACATTTCATGTTGCCGAATTTCCTCACATGTTTTAATTGTTCATCCAAGAACTAAACTATTTAATGCATTCAAACGTTCTGTGAATTTAGCTGAGATCATGAAGAATAAACTCACAAAATTTTAAGTTTCAGCGTTGCTTTGATACTCGTTACAAAAATAAAGCAGAGAAAATTAGGCAACATCTGATAAAGTTAGGCTGATTCTGCAAAAATCTAGACATTCATACTTGAAAGTTTATTGAAATAAGTAAAAGTCGTATGTTAAGTTAGATCATAAAGCAAATTACAAAATGGAAATGTGGACTTAAATGATTATATTGCCACGAAGGAAGGCTCGCTTGCGATGAACAAAGTTCAAATGACACAAAAAGCTGAACCTTTGAAATACTTTTTCCTTGCTGAATGAGTCAATTGTAAAATAAAATTTCTGCTATCGAAGAAAATTTATATTTTTGCAGAAAAAGCATTTATTGTCAATAATATGATTTCCCGAAAACTATCCCATCTATGGACGTCCCTTTATTCCTAGTAATCTGAAACAAATTGCTCTTATTTTACCAGTGTAAGTATTTTAAACACTGTACCTTCGATTCGAATCCAGTCAAAAATCCCATTTGCTGAGAGAGACGTAAAACTTCGGCTCTATCCCCATCGGCAGCTGCTTTTATAATCTCCACGTACTTGTCTAAAAATTCTGAACTGTAGCCTCTTGATGCTCCAAAATCTAACAAAACCAACTGCAAAAACATATAAAATTTGTACATAACTGCATTAAAAGAGTCAGGAGAGTCTTTTAAAAAAAGGTCTTTGAAATTTAGGAATGCGACATTCTGCATTCACATTTTTGTAAAATACACAAAGTTAGAACTTAAAGAGAGAAGTTTGAGGTTTCATCTTTTTTAGAACTTGATGTTGAGGACGAAGTTAAAAGTTTACTCTCTCCTTCTACATATATGTTTTTTTTACTTTGAATTTTTGGCAGATGAAAAGTAACGAGTAAGTGAATTCGAAACTGTCCCTACACAGACTAGCAACATTTCAAGAAACTTTATTAAATGAAATTGTGTGTGCATGAAAACAGAGAAACTTTTATTTTGAAATTTTTTTTAAAAAAAATATCATGAGTCAAATTTTGAAGTTTTTCCACGAATTCTTGGATAATTGTTGCGAGTTGCATACACAGCCCCTGATCGCTGAAATTTCACGTAAAATAAAATTCAACATTTCAGCAAAATGAAATTTTATTTTACATCTCTTGTCCCTGTTCATTTTTTTCCAAAATACAGCTTGGTGCGCTTGTGTTAAACTCAGAAACTGATATGTTATTCAAACAAATTTCATTTTCCAGTGCTTATTCATTGTATGGTGGTATGTATGTGCTTTTGAATTATTAAATTAAGAGGTACGCTACACACCTGCCTTGTTTCTGGATTGTAAAAGAAATTAGACCAATTAGGATCCGTTTGCATGTATCTGAATGTGAAGAGCTCCCTTAAACACAACTGCATGACTAGATAACAAATATGTTTCCGTGTAGCTTCATCCATATCCACACACTTATCAACAGGAACACCTTCCACAAAAGTTGTTGTGAACACTTGTTCCGAACACAGCTCATCTGCAAAAAAAAAATGGCGAATCTGAGTCGGGACGACCACTGTCTAAACAATTTGATAATATGTACGCACCAGATGTAAAAATAAAAATAAGTAGTAGGGAAAAAATGAAAAAATAGTCAGAAAATGATATTACGATTACTTGATTAGAATATTACGAATACTACAGTTATATGACTACATAATATGAACCCCTAAGAACATTTCAATAAAATTCTTTCAAACAGGTACATTAGATGAATAAAAGCTCTTTGAATTTAGGATTCAAGGATAATAAATATTTAAATGAAATTATACAAGAAAAAAAGGACTTTAGGCTGTTAGGGTGAACAAAGCTGAGCAAATCTGCACTATCAGAAAATGAACTTACATGCAAAACAAATAATAAGCAGATACATACTAATGCATCAATGTCACGTCACATCAATGCATCTTTCTTTCAGTTTGATATTAATCATTTGAAATTTTTTTTAATATTGGCTTCCTAAGGAGTTTTGGCCAGTGCATATTTGCCAAATTTGTCTGAATACTTCTGATTCAAAATACTTGTTGTCCAAATATTAGAGAGACCACAGAAATTAGTTCTGTTTGAAAACTTAACCGCAATTGTTACGAATTGTTCATGATGTGGATGAAAAATATAAGAATACATACCAACTACATCAGGTACTTTATATTCTGGATAAGGCTTCAGAAGTTCTTTGAATTTCAAGGTACATTCTCTTTCACGGACGTAATCCACTTCCCAGGAGAGCTCTCGTTTGGCAACTTCGACAACATTGTCAATGAACATTCCTGAGAACAACAATTTAAACTACTTATTGGTATCATGAGACAAGAAAATCACAGAATAGCATACTGATTAAAGACATCCATTTATTGTCAAAGCATTTCTTGAAATAATGTTTTTTTGAAAACAACCTAACGCAAGCTCAGGAGCTCAGTTTAAAGAACACCAGGGACACCATGGCATCTCACGTGAAATTTCACCATAGAAAAGTTACTTTATTTGCAAATTCCTGACATATGCAAAAGCTTCATTATGGATAAATAAAATCTTCCTTATTTATTTTCTATGTGAGAGTTGGTAGAATTTAGAATGCACGACATGTCATGAGAAAGTTTTTTGACATTAATGGCAAAATCATAGATAGATACCTTCAGGAAATATGTTCCAAATTTTCATGACTGAGACAAGGTTGTTTATATCGCTCTCTATGCCCTCTGCAACACCAGGGTACTGAATTTTGATGGCAACCTCTGTTCCGTCTTTGAGCACCCCATAGTGAACCTGACCTATTGATGCAGCAGCAAATGGTTTATCTTCAAAAATATCTAATTTGGATCTCCAATCAGGACCCAGTTGCGATGTTAGTACTTTCTGAAAAACAAGAAAATTCCTCGTTAAAATGATTATTTCCTCTTTCACTGTGGGAGAGAAGATTAGACCGAATAGATGATTTTCATCCAAAATAAAAACCAGTCATGTTTTTATAAAAAGATATTATTTGAGCTTTGCAGATCGTGTTAAAATCAATAGATTTTAACATTATAGATCAAGTAATGACACATCTACTTTATTTTAATGTGATTATTGGATTGGAACGTCAACTTGAAGACATAATGGTACAATGCAAAGAGTTCCAGGATTTCAGAGGACAAGATTTCAGTCGTTGCGTTGATGGGTCAAAATAAGTCTTCTGCGTCATGCGTCATATCCTACCCAGAGACACCTTCTCTTGGGGTTACTCCCCTTCAGATTTCTCTATTTACATTTTTGCTTTGAGTCGAATCGAGCTTAAGATGTACACAGATATTTTTCATCAACATGTTCAGCCCTGAGATTGGAATCCAGATATCAAGAGTTACCGTGGGGTTAAGGGATTATTTTCATAAATTTTTGCCCTACACACTAAACCAAAAGAATAAGATATATGTACCTCAACTTGCCATGTTGGCATGAAGTCAGCAGCCTGCCGCACTCTTTCAAAAGCCTCTTGAAACTCCGGACTTATAGTGTTGTTATCTTGAATACTAAGAATCTGACCGATCTTCAAAGCAGCACCTGCATGACAAAAAATATAGAAGTCATTTTGGAACACATCCTCAATTAGTCCTTATTTTTGTGTTCAAGCATTGCTCAAAATTTTCCCGATGTATTAAACGAATTGAAAATCTGGCGAAAACCTAAAAGTAATTCTTGAAACTCATCTGAGTTGATCATATTTTAAAAGTGACATAATTTGATATATGAAGATGAGGTGCAACAGGATGCGTCTTCTTTCCGTTACGTTGAAAAACCAACTATTCTTTTATTCTATTCTTGAAAAAAAATAAGCTCTTCAAAATTTGAGCCAATTCGGTGAGTTTCTGGATACAGTGCATCAGGATTGTATTTTCGGAAAGTTACATTGAATCAAATGTGTGGAAAACAGGCTAATTGGCAGTAATGTATTCTACGGCCATAAAATGAGGCCAAGTGCGCATGGTTTAAATATCTTATGAGGAACCATCTCAGAGCGATTTGTGAACCCACGTGACAATACCAGTTCTTTAGGTGTCTTAAAAAAATTGGGCAGAGGTGCAGAATCTTTCAAGCTTTCATGTTTTCACAAGCCTACGCACCAACTTTCATCATTTTTCTGCTCAACTTTCCCCAAAATTTCCCTTCAATTTAAAAAAAAGGACCTTTTTCTCCTTGTTTCCTTTTACTTTTGACCTACAACTGCTAAAACTTAGCCTTTATTTCTTATCTTAAAAGCTTTTTCTTAAACCCAGACATGCGTCTGATCGAGCATTATCTGCATGCCTGGGATTTGGAACAAGAACCTTGGCGCTCTCAACAAACTACTTTAACCATATAACCAACCAGCACTGTTGCTGGTGTTTCAACTTTGTAAGTTCTCACATCAATAGACTTGTTCAAGTAAATGCACTAATCAGTTTATACATTAATTCTGTGGAGATTAAATTAAGTAAATTAATGATAGTACCTCTGACTTTGCACAGGGTGTTGACGATTCTTTGTGCATTTGCTGGGGTGAGAAATGCTTTATCCAATGTAGCACCTGAGGAAGAAGGAGCATCATGTAACCCTAGGGAGCGGCGAGTTATTTCTGCTATTGTCCCAACACCTAGGCCAGCTGCTAGCGTCCCAAAGGAAAACATGCGGCTTAAACGAGTAGATGGAACGGCACGTTGTTTGGCAACCTCATTCAACTGATCACAATAGAGAAAAGCTGATTATAGCAGCATTACATTTTGAAATAGAATAATGGACTAAAATGAATTATCAGAGGGCAGAGGCAAAGAGAATTCTGAGTAGGAGTGGTTGACTAGGTGATTTAATCATAAAAATAGGTCATGAATCAGTATGAGCTAGAAAGTACTAGCAGGTTGATGATTGAAATTGATAGGCGAAGCTATGGACAAATAAGACAAAGAGAAAACTGAGCGATCCTCCCAGTGGAGGCGGGTGGTTGCAATCGCAGTTGCAATTGACAGCAGCCTACCAGAGACCCTATAGTTAGTCCACTTTCCTCCTTAGTCTATGATGACCACCTGTTTCAACCATTAGGATTGCATCATTTTCCCTTTGACCCGTTTGCCTATTGTTTTGTCCATTGATTTCAATAATCAGCCAGCAGCAATGTAGAAACTTCCCAACCTTGCAACCACTGTTGCCTAACAGGTCAAAAGAAAAGGAAAAGGGCAAGCTCACACTTGTCAACATGAAAAATTCCGAAAATTTATTAATAAAGAGCAAAATAAAAGGTCATCACTTTTGGAAATTCTAAGCGGGAAAAAAAGGGTTTTCAAAATGGAAAGGTCAATCAAAAAACTAGGAAGGCTAAGAGCTCGCCACATACTTCAAAAGCGCACTCTTGAATACTGCTGCCCAAAGCAAAAAAGCTGTAACCCCATTCTTAATTTTTCTTTCTTTCTTCACACGTAATACAGTGAGACCTCGAATTATCGGATCGCAAATTATCGGATTCCGCGATTAAACGGTTCGATCCTCCGGTCCCTTCAGCGAGACCCACCAGCGCAACTGAACCGATTCCGCGATTCAACAGACTTGGCCTCCGGTCTCGTGAAATCTGATAAATCCAGGTCTTACCGTATTTAATTGCAATGAAACCTGATCACCAGTACTTATGCTTCCTTTTTTCTCATTTTCAGTTCTTGATCATGTGTTAAGGACATGTTAAAAGTAAGTGGGGTGAATATCTGACGGTTCTCTTTGAACAGTGCATTATGTCAGGAAAAAATCTTGAGTGAAGTTGTGAAGTTAAAGCGATATTCAACAGCAGAATAGGGCATCGTTACCTAAGTTTTCGTTTCCCCACACATCATTTTTGACTTCCCTGTATTTTCACCAAATCAATCTCCTCCTAAGTTTTGAGTGCCACACTGCTGAAGAAATGTAAAAAGTGAGAAGGAACTTGTGAACAATCAGGAAATCATTAGGACAATGGAATAATGTTCATTGAAAACGAGGTACAGCGCACAATTGTATCTTTTTCAACTACAAAACAGGACTCAGAGGGTGAGATCATCGAGTGAAGTTGGAGGGAAATATATTTGCCTTCGCAATTTTTTTTTATAGATTTGATGATCCTCTCCCATCAGAGCAGCTAAATTTTAGTCTAACTGATCATTTAAACCCGACAATCGTTCGGAATTTTCACTACCTATTGAGGTTAGTTAAAGGTTTGTCCTCAACAAAATAAATAGTTATATATGATTAATAGTTTACCTGTTGCCTTTTCTTTTCTATCTTCTCAAGGTTGTGTGTCTTGCTTCGGGATCCATGACTTGGTCCAGACTGTGGTGTAGAAAGGACCTTCGGTGGTGTTTCAAGCGACGCTAATACTGATGAAGTATCCTTTGTCGGAATTTGATCAGAACTGCGTTTTTCTGATTGAGACATATTGGACACGTTTAATGATTTAGGGGCTTGATTGGTATTTTCTTCTGTATAAATAATCTGAATAGGTTGATTACTACTTGCAGATGGCGTTTGCTTTGAATTTTTGTATTGCTGTAAATCACGTTCAGCCTGTTGTCGTAATAGAGCATCTATTTCATAAGCATAATCTTCTTTCCCACCGTTAAAATCAGAGAAATGATGGTTTTCATTTACGCCTTCACTGGTAACACCTGGAAAAATATACAAACTGTAGCTTCCCGTTGAAAAATGGCAGATAGGTAATCTGGGTGATGGGGAAAGACAGCGGCTACAAGAAAATTGATCACAATTATCGATTTAAATATCCGGGTTTTCATTAACACTAATTTTGTTGGGAATTACTTAACTGAAAAAAAGTAAGAAAATTCGACTCTAAACATCGCAAAGAATAACTGGCAGCATTCAAAACTTAATACGTTAATGGTACTAAGAGCAAAAAGTAAAAAAGGAAGCGAAGAGAGCTGAAAAAAAAACCCCAAAGTCTTACCTTGGTAATAGACAATATAACCTTTGATTCCCTCAAAAACCATAGATGATCTTTGAAGAGTTTCTGTAATAATCTTGTCAACCTGAAAGTGAAAAATACAAATAATAAATCAAGCAGTTCATGATTCATTTAACAGCAGACAAGAAAAAAACGCTAAAAAATGTGGGCCAAAACATTAAAGAAGAGGATGGTAGAATACTGCTGGGTCCACATTATTCTGCAGAAAAAGCAAGGCCAAAAAATTCCAAAAATCGAATTAAAGCAAAACATTTGAGTTTTGCACTGACACTCAGGAAGAAAAGCTAAAATTTTTTATTCTAACTGAAATTTTTTGGCCTTGCTTTCCCACTGAATGGTTTGGACCCAGCACTAATCTATCATCCTATTTTTTTACAACAAATATATTGATCGGTACACTCAGAAATACTTTGAGTATCTCTATGTTTATTTATTTGCTTTTTAAATTCTCTGAGCTTCAAAAGCCAATGTTTAACAACTTAAATCGATAAATTTAATAAAAAATTACTTTCAAGTAATTTTACTTTGTGCAGAGGGGTGTTCAATAGGAAAATTATTTCTCTTGCGACATTCACAGAAGATGAAAAATTTGAATAAGTTTGGTCCTGAAATCCTACTATGAGTATACATGGAGAGCAAAACTCAAAATTGCAAATCAATCGAATGGAATGAGGCTGGATGAGAGCCACCAGCTTCGATTGTAGAGTGAATCTTACCTACCAGATTCGAGGTGAAATGCAATGTAAATAGTCCTTTGCAAAGTGCAGACACCAAAAAATCTAGATAACCAGAAAAAATATGCGCGTATGTACGCTTTACTATTCTATGTCGTCACCATCTTCATCTATCATTTTACCCATACGCCACCTTCATGATTCCGTGGGAATAGAAGTCACATGGCTGATTTTCGAAGCAAGTGTTTCCAGCTTGCTGCTTTTTGAGGGTCAAACTGCAGGAATGTGTACCTCGTTAGCAGTTTATCAAAATCTCTGCTCCCATTTAATTTTGTCAGAGAAGGCTATTGCTTGAAATCCACAGAGAATTTTTCACACAAAGAAGAAAAATCAGTCTAGTTTTCAAGAAAGGACAACAAGTATTTTTTTCATTTATTTGATCGAATATGACAGGAATCTGCTACATCTCAAACCCAGATACATTTTCCTGCAGTTTCACAGTCGTAACGTTCTTGGTAGCATTACCTGTATAGAAGGAGGTCCTGACAGGAGACTTTGAATTTTCTCTTCAACAACTTTGTTATCACAAACAAGATCTTTGACACTGGAATTTGCCCATTTCTGCTGACAGATTTTTTCTTGCTGTTTGAGACTTGCATTGGCCACCAACTGAATTCCTCGCAAAACGCCGAGAATATCAGGGCCCCATGGGCGATTCATATTCTGAAATCAAAACACTAGTGAAGTTGCTGTATTACTTAACTATGTGTTTGATACGTCAATGGCTAGAGTACAAAAATGCATACCTCCATTGCAAGATTTAATAAAAGTCTCTAATAATCTTTTGAGAAACGAACTTAAAAAGTATCTCCTGGAAATATTTTCCTGAATATTTTGAACTAGGTAGGTACTGAAGAAAAGTTAGAAAATGAAAGAAAAATTTTAGATTTCTTCTGATGAAATAAAATATAAGTAATAGATTTGCAACATTGCTGTAGGAAAAATGCATTTAAGATTTTAGCTAAAGAAGTACCTTTTTGAAAATAAAAATTAGGAAAGACAATAGCCTGGTACTTGATGAAAAGAAGAAGATCAAGACTCTCACTGTTCCCCAAAGCCTACCTGGGAAACGTGTGCAAAAACATCGCCACAACAATGTAGTGACCCTATTTTTTTGACAGAACGTTGTGACGATGTTGTCAAAATATTTTTGCATTTTTTTTGCTGCACAGATTAGATATCGAAGATTGAATTGTGAGTAGTCACTTGCGTTAAAGGTACAAATTGTTCCGACCTTGGACGAAGAAAGGATTTCTTCTGGTAGACAAAAAATCGTAGCGCAGCACCTGACTCAAATCATCTTAATTGAAACAAGATTCTTTGATGTTAACTCAAGTGTAAACTATTGATATAAAAATCTTCCTATCATCAGCGTATTGGATTGTCTCATCACATTTTTGAAAAGTTACATGGGGTTTACAAAATTGGATAACTCAAATGAGTTTCGAAATGTATTGATGGTCTGAACGCAGCATAACCTTTGGGTAGTCAAAGTGTGTTGTTTGAGAACTCATCAGATGACGCTTGTCGGTACCACTTTCAGCATGCAGTGATGGTGATACAAACAAGACCGATAATTGAATGATTACCTTGGAGAGTCATCATATTGCACTGAGTTGATGTCAATCATGAAATTAATGAACTTTCTGAGCTTATCAGTTTCAAAATTGGACGGAGTTAAACAGAAAGGAACCAAGCCACATCGGGATCGAACCGAGAAAAAGAGGTTTAAAGTTTGGCTCCTGCATAAGTCTCAATGTAAAAGATAAACTTCAAGTTCAATTTCTGCAAAATTTGCTCCAACAAAAACTTTGAATTTTTGGCGATAGATAGTAGAGCAGTGGTCGAGTTCAAAACCACTCATAACTCAATTTTTTCCAAAATGTGGGTTGGTTCCTTTCTGCTTAACGCAGTCCAATTGACAGTCCGAAGTGACTGTTGGTAAACAAGACACCAAAATAAGCGACGAACTGAAACTGCTAAAATTCAAGGTATACTTACGCAATCAGATGATGCAAAAATTATTCAGACACTAACTCCCACACATGAAACCCACTACTCAGAAAAAAACTGTAAATAACCCTGAAATAACCCAAACCAAGTTTCAGTCTTGAATTGGAGTCAAAGGTGCGGCCGTTTTTGAGGTTAGGATTAGGATTGATAAGATTTTAACTGAAAGAGCTGAATTCTCGGATGATCGCGGGATACCTATGGGCCGGAAAAGTTCTAAAACTTTACAAAAACTTTTCAATTACATAACTGACAAATCCATCATTCAACCATAGCAGGAACATGTGAGTGCCAAAGCTGAAATCGCATCGCAAATAGAAGGGAGGGGGGGGAGGGTGCTTATCAGCTGGCTGACTGCCTTGTGCCAGGGTTGATGTTGCCGGCTTGTGCAATTGAACATTTCTACGTACGAATACAATTGATAACTAAATTACTTACTTGGCTACACTGATTCATAAATAGAAATTAGACAAAAAGCGGCTTAAAGCCGGCTAGATTGAATTTTGGCCAAAAAGAGCAGTTATTTGAGTTGAGTTTTAAAAATAATAGAAAAAAGTGCAGTGGAGAGAAAAATTAGAAAAATCAAGTAAAATATGGTAGAGGTAAAACTGCTTAATCAACCTAAAGGATTTTTTTTTTTTTCAAGAAAACAAAGTTTTTCAGCCTTAATTATTTTTGAATTCTTACTTACCTACTACAGGCTTATTTTGGCGATGGATGCAGACTGCGTTAAGCAGAGAGGAACCAAGCCACATCCGCTATTGCCAAATTTAACTGGGCAATTTAAATTTTTAAATGAAAATGGTTGTGCGGATTTTTTCCTAATTACTTACAGTAAATTTTCCGCATAGCACTAAGCATCCTTGAGTTTTTTAAGGAATCCGCGCAAACATTCTCTTGTAAAAAATTAAATTACCCAGTTAAATTCGGTAATAGCTGATGTGGCTCAGTTCCTTTCTGCTAAATACTGTTATCAGTGGGTATGTTTTAAATACTCAAATTCTTAGTCTCTGCTTTAAAATGTCTTTATAATGACAGCTTGACGGATTTCTCTTGCAGAAAAATAAATAAATTTTGTGAGTTTCACTTGGAAAGAGAGGGGAGAAAATCACAAGTTTCTCTTGCTTCATCTCGAAATAACTGTCCATGCTGTAATGGTGAAAAATAAAAACACAAGACCAGTGATGCAAAATTTCATGAACCTTTGTAAAATAAAATTTTATAATGTTCATAAAATTTCGTGAGATTTTTTTAAAAAAATCTGCAGTGGACTCACGATCAAATACCGTGAAATACATAAAAATGGGGAATTTTTTAAAGTATATTATGAGTCATGTTTTAAAATTTCATGACAAGTTCTTGGATAATTGTTACAAGTTGCATAAGTAGCCCCTAAAAATCGTTAAAATTTCACGTTTCAGCAAACTGAAAGTTAACTTTTCAGCAAAATGATTTTGTATTTTGCACCTCTTTACAAGACCCTCTAAGAGAGGCCGAAATAGGTTTTGAGCCCAAACCCAGGGCCCATATAATGTGGCTTTCCCGACACCATATCGGTCCGAAATGTAAGTACCTAAAGGTTAAATAATTGAGAACTGTCTGAAATCCAACCCAGATTGGATTTTTTCGGATCTTCTTCTTGAATTCGACACTAATTTGATGTTAAATTTTTAATCGAATAAATTCAACATGGAAATTGAGAAAATGAATTTCTAACATTGGATACTTCAAGACTTTTTTAGCAATATTTTCTGAGAGACGTTGCTATTAGAGAGGTATTTCACATTAATGCTTATCAACCAATAAATAAAACATTTTCTATGATAAGAAAAAGTATTTAAAAATTTCCATTACTCCTTGACTAATAGATTAGAATTTAGGTCTCTTATTTCCATGGAATCATCCTGCTTGGACAAAAGCACTTAAAATGATGGTACATGATGGTGCTTGAATTCATGTCCTTGAGTTAAACACGCATTCCTTCTGTGTCGGCTCTGCACAATTTATTATTTTAAACCATGAAAAGATGACATGCTTAAACTATTCTACACTGATCAGGATCGATGGTTTTCAACAATAAAAAAATAGAAAGCATACGTAAAATTAATTAGCTTTATTGCGCAGAGAAGTGATTTTTCAATGAGATAAGAAAATAGTGCAAAACATACTCCTGTCTCACTGGCTGACGTGTCTTTTTCCGTTAACATCACACTATGGAACTGGCCAACTCAGGTACTAATTTAATAAAAATCCATAAAAATAGATTGAAAGATGCATTAAAAAAACACAAACAGATCTCAACTGTTTCCAAATGATCACTCTCTATCTTATAGGACTCCTGCCTGCTGTAAACTTTGGATGGTGTTAAAACGCTTACGGAACAAGTACTCTATTTCAATTTTAAAATTATTGAGGGTAACTTAAAGAAAAGGTGAAAAGCAATATCTGGCTGTGAAAGCCATTATTGTGAGTTATGTAGACATACCATCTGTTCTGGACTTAAGCAACGGCTGCTACACCCGGACTTCCACAAGCTGAGCTTTGATTTCAATGATTGGTCCAGAGAATGAATCATCACAAATTATGCAATGCACATCTAATCATTCTCTCCCCAGACAAGTGTTACTCACACACATATTTATCATAAGGGACCAACTGGCCTAGGGCTGAGCATTCTCTGATCCATTCCTGTTGTACGATGAGAACATCCGGATGATTTTCTTTGATTAGTTCTATACTTCTGTGTCCGCCTGGCTCATAATCATTATCAACCAGAACAAAATCAATTTTCTTAACTAAATCTAACACAATCGTACCTTTGTAAGCAATGACACAACGCTGTAAGTAGGCCTTGGCCTCTGGGCTTTTGATGAGAGAGCTAATGTAAAAAGTTTTGCCCGAAAAAAAGTCAGGTAAATATGGTAAAGGCAGTTTTTCGGTTATTGAGGTATCTCTGGAATTTTTCTTAGGGATAGGTTTCTCTTCCTCTTCATCTATATCAGTGTCTTCATCGTAAACACTGAGAACTTTTGTTCGCTTTCTTTGAGGTCGTTTTGAGGTCGTGTCACCATCAGAATCATCATTCAAGGGGTTGGCAGCTTTTTTCTTCTTTTGCTGAATTCGATTCACTTCCTCATCAGTATCGCAATCTGATTCTTCCGGCACATCATCTGCATTAGTAAATATTTCATCCTCACTTTCCGGTTTCTTCTTATCTTTCCTGTCTAATGCAAAGCGGCGCCACGGAAACCTCCTTTTCTGTGCATAACACTCTTCTATCCACTCTTTCTTCACGATTTTGCCTTTCCCTTGAACTTGCTGGAACTTAGGCGTGTTCGGAAAAGCGCAGATTAAGTGAGTACATGCCGAGTTCCAATCCGGCTTGTACTTTGCTCCCATTTCTAAAGCTTTAGACCTGAGCTGACCTCTGTAGGGATTTTCGAATCCACTTATGACAAAAACTACATCTTCAAGGAGCTCATAGAAATTTTTAATTTCCCTCTCCACTTTGCGCTTCCTTGAGGAAGAACTTGATGCAGATGGAATTGGGTCTGTGGTGGGTAAATTACTTGGGACACTAATTTTTCCTGAGTCGTTCTTTGTAGAGGATGACGGTTCGTTTAGAGAAATTCTATTGGTAACCTTGTTTTCTTCAGAATTAAGACTGTTTGCCTTGGATTGAGAAGAAATGTCATCATTTTTGTTATCAGATGTATTTAGTTTTTTGCGTTTTTGACTTCTAGTTGGCTCCTCTTCATCATCATCATCATAAATTAAACGGTTCTTTACAGTGCGTCTGCTGTTTGAATCAGTATCTTTTGTCTTTGATGCTGAACCAGTATCCTTTACCTTCTTTTTTTCACTATTTGAATTCCTATCTAGTTTAGTTTTCGGTAGTTCCCCAGAATCAGTTAGATTTTTGGTCGTTGCTTTTGCTCCTGTGTTAACTTTGGATTCATCCTCTGAAAAGAAAAATGTTTGTTAAAACAACATAGGGGCACAGTAAAGAGCTATGGACAAAGATCACAGAAAGAATAGTATGAATGATATTTTTGATTGTTTATACATTTAGATTCATAGACGTATTTTCGTTGATTGTACTTCGATATCGCTGGCTAAATGTAAAAAATGCGTATCTCAATTGCAACATTTATAAATTTCTGATTAAGTTTGATTTTCTTTATGAAAAACCATAGAGAAAAAAAGGAGGTGTTTGCATTTCGGGCATCTTGGAATTTTTTTGATGACGTAGGTCAGTACAGCGACGTTTATCATCGATTTTCTTGGAAATGGTGTAATTAATGGGAAAAAGTCATTCTATAGAAAGTGCTTGTAATTATATCATGAGTTGATTTAAGCAAAAAAATGGGACATTATGGTCTGTTTTTCATACTTCGAATTCCGGATTTCGCTGGCCGGGTTGTACAGACCTACGTCATAGGGTAAACAAACCTCAAGATGCAAACACCTCCTTTTTTTTCTCTATGGTGAAAAACGAATCAACTTGTTTCCATGCAATTTTGTGTGATTCTTTTTAGAATCATTGAGGAAATTCCACAGAAAGTTTAAACTTGGACAGTTGATCGGGTTTCTTTTGAAAAATAAAACATGAGCAGAGACTTTGCAACCCGAGACACACATTTTTTTTACTTCAACTATGTATCAATAAATACAATTTTATACACAGTCTATAATGATAATGAGGTCTTCATCTACTTTTAAACTATTTATTAATTTTATTCAAAATCTGATCAGATGAGATGTTTTCACCAGTCAAGTTATCACCATAGAGCCGCAAGGCAGTTCCAGAAATTTACTTCCAATTTTGGAGTTTAATTTTTGAAAGCCTGAAATATGCTCTCCTAAATGAAGGCATTGTTCTAGGAGACAAGATATAATTTCATAATGCAGGAAAAGTTTAACTTATCTATCTATCTCTGAAACGAACAGGAGAAATGTCTCGATCTAGGTACCTGTTTACTACTCTCTTGATAAAAGTCCCAAACTTTCTAGAAAGGGGGATCCCCTAGATCCTAAGTCCTTCATATAGATGGACCTATCTAATCTTCAAGCATTTGTGCTCAAGGAAGCCTTCTACAACATGGATGAGCTATTTTCTAAGAAATATTTTCTCTTTAGATACTTTAACTTGTCCTTTGTTCTAGGACTCTCACATAGTTTTGTGTCAGTATTATACTCTCTACCAGTTGTTCTCAATTACTTATAATTTTTTTGACTTTCGTGATACTTGTGCTGCAGGTTGTGGATGTAACAAATTGGTAGAGAGAAGAAAAGAAAAGAAATCTAATTTCATAAGGAAAATATGCTGAAAGTAAAAAGAAAATACCTATTAATGGCCCCCCGTCCAGCTTTTTCTTGGTGAAGAGACTTCCGGCAGAAAAACCATCATCATTTTCTGTCTGTTTCCAAGTGAACTTTCCCAAGTTTGGCAACTTATCATCTTCACTGACTTCAGCAGCTTTTGTGTGTACTATAATGAACGACAATCCGTACTGAACATGCTTGTTAAATGGTTGCGTGCATATGATCTTAATTCGATCCCAGCTGTCATCTACAGTTGGCTTAGACAGTTGACTATGACTGAAGAACTTCACCGAGTTTGTGTTCGTTCCATTTTTTGATTCATCAAAGGACATCAGAGATGATGCAACCAACAGCACCTAGAAATTAAAACTCATTACTTCAGCTACATACATAGATAGGCTCATACATAGTTCTTCTGCCATTCTACCTCTAAAAGTGTTCCAAAAGTTTCGATAATTCCTCCATTTTCAAATTCCTCGATTCTTTTTTGCTTTTTCCTGATTTCAAAATTGATTTTCCTGATCTCTAAATTTGATTGAGATTTCTGTTCTGTACATTATATGTAAGTACTAAATTTTAGAAAACCAGAGATTCAAATTATGGAAGAATGTAATCCAAAATTTTTTGCATTCTTTCAAATGACATTGGTTGAGGTACCTAACTGAGCCAACGCACTACTCACAAAATTTATTGACTGTTCTGAAAATTTTCTGACTTTTCCGTAGTGTAACTTTCTAGGTTTTCAAAACCACCAGAAACCCTGCAAACCTGTCAACACAGGGAACCTGATGATCGCAGAGGAAGTTCCCTGCCCTATGATTATGTTTTGACAAGATGATGTCTGAGAATGTACCTTGAAAGAGATAGCAGCAGATTTTGTCAAAGGGCTCAGCTATTGACAGGAGGAAAGGATTCCATATTTAGTCAAAATATAGATTTTTAGTAATTTTCAACTCTTTGCATTTTTTTTACTCTATTTTCAAGTTACTTACTTAAGTAAAACCTGAAATTTCTTGATAGGTTGTGATAGAAAGACTTCAGACAGTCACCACAAAAATTCAAGGGAATTTCTATTGAAGTTTTGGAGGATTAATAGCTTGTGCATAAAAATTTAACACTTTGCCTGCCACACCAGTAAGGGTTATTACAACCGGCATCAAAGAGTTCCACAAGCGCCACACCGTTGGTTTCAATCAGAATGCAGTCGCTTGAGTTTAATGGTCTTGTGAGGCCAGCAGTCGACAGAGCCACAAGTATGCTTAGGGTTTACAACAGTCATGACCCCCTCTATTCAATGTCTTTGATGACCCCAAGAGTTTTGGCAATATTGTGAAATCCATAATTACCACTTGCAAAAATATGTGAGCGTTTACCTTGTAGTCATCTTCATTTGAGGTTGATTTTGCAACAAGAACCTCAACAAATGCTGAGAATTCATTGCCAATGTCTATTCCTGTGATTTTTGAAGCTTTCTCCAATTGTAAAATAACGACAGCTTGTTTTTCACCGGGAGTTTTACATTTCCACTTTTTACTTGGATTGTCTTTCAGCAGTAAATTTTGAGCATTATGAACCTATGAACAGAAGAGATATAAGTTTGACAGTTGTACCCGTAATCTTTTACTTTTACACTAAGAAGAGATATACATGGTGAGACACAATGAAAATACATAGTGGATTAAATATGATAGATAGGGGAAAATATATTCACATACCGATGGCTTAACTTGATAACCTTTTGAATCAGCTTCCAGGGTTACAAACTTTCCATCATACTGTATTTTTTAATCAGGTAGTATTTGACAGATTGCCTACCTTGCCAGTCATGCTAATCAACCAACATTCTAGGGTGCCATATGCGCTACACACATCGATTGAGATATTCTCACTTGCGTCAAGTGGCTCCTGTGAGACTACTGGTCGTCAAAGCCTTGGGTATGCTAAGGGTCATGACTGGCAAAGCTTTAGTGGGAGGACAAACAACTGCACTCATATTTTTTGTTCGTATTATGAGGGAGGGACAGCATCAATTTTTATTCCAGATTCAACCACATGACCATCCAGTAACGTTTCTAGAATAAATTAATGACACTGGTACATCCCTTCCGATTAACCATTCGTAACTGATTCTCAGCATGCATTAGGGGTGTATGAAAATGTTGATCGAAAATTCCGACAATAGTATTAGGTAAGGCGGAGAAGAGCCAAGAAGAGCGGAGAGAAGTACAGGAGTAAGTTGTTCTTACGGAATCCTCTGAATTGACACTCAGTACTTTGACTAGGTTCACAGGAGCCATATTTCCTCGTTGGATATTTCAATGGTAACACATTAAAATTGACTGAGTTAGAAAAGTGAACATGGTTTGATAAAATCGCTGACTATTTTCAAAACAACAACATTGTGAAATTCGTTTCAAAACTCGGAAAGGCGCGCACGCGGATCATCATTGTGACGTCAGAATATCTGGTCGACTGAGAGAGTTTGGAGAATTCAATTTCTAATTTTTCGATTAAAAAGGAAGTAATAAACTGTAGTTTGTAGAAATAAAGAAATAGTTTTAATTTCGAAAGCTTTGAAGACAGAAAAAAGAACTTTTACAGCAATTTTTGTAAATTTACCATAAATTTACTCATTCAGTGCGACGTATATATCATGAAATCTCGAGATAAATGACGTCATCGTCAAATCAAAACAAAAGCTCGCAACTCACTTTGAGGTTATGTGAGTGATGGTGATAGTAAGTTTTGGACCTGAAGTAATGTGTACTCAGATAAAAAGTTCTTTCCAAACTCCTTAGATTGCTAATTTCTAACATCGGTATTGATTTAGTTTTATTGCTGGCTCTCTAATTAAATTTTTCTTTCTCTATTGCGCCTTTTAGTGACTGAAAATGGTATTGCTCGAATACCAAGCTGTTGTCCTCGCTGGTGGGAAGGGCTCCCGAATGACTGAAATTACAGCCAGAAAAGCAAAATGTTTGCTCCCTGTAGGCAACTACCCAATGGTTTGGTATTCTTTGCAGATGCTTGAACATTTCGGATTTCAAGGCAAGTATTCTCTTCTAATTTTTCTCATCAAAATTTTTCACTTGCGTTAGTCGATGATACCTCATCGAATCCATAACACTCACCGGAATTCTCCTTCAAAATGCTTTTGCGCAAAGAATGGTGGTGTAAATAATTTAGTCCATGAGTAACTACCTATAGATTATCCTTCTCAAGGCGTGTAGTTTGTATATTTTGCAATACTAAAGCTTAGGTAAATACCTAAACTTATCATATTTACGAAAGTAGAAAGGATAGTTCTCTGTCAATGAGTGAAGATTACACCACATATCGACGGTGAAAGTCGGCAATCACATAACTCGTTTGCGGTGTCTGAAAATCTCCACCTCTACGTCATTTTTTTAAAGGAGAGCAAAGTGACATTATTTCTTGAAGTTTTTGCAGAATTTTCTTCGCATTGAGAAGAAAAATAATGATAGTTTTAAAGAATTGCCGTTGAGTAGTTTTCCATTTAAAAAATAAAGTATGACAGGAGGTCTGCGACGTCGCAAACCAAGTTATGTGATTGCCGACTTTCACCGTCGATATATGACTTCCAATGTTTTGGAAGAACATCTCTCATTCTGGATGGCAATTGGCGAACAAATAATGCATGAATGTCAATCGCACTAGTCAAGCTGGCAGGTGTCTATTATAGAGGGTCATACGCGAAAGATTTTTACTACGTATCTGCACATGGTTGCGTCTGCGGTTGAACCACAATCACGATGTAATTGATGATAGTACCACAGTCGCTCTCAATCAGTGGTGTCATCTCAAATTTTGCTCCTAAAATTGCTCCTTGAAAAAATAGCATTTGCTCAGGGCCAAACCTCAACTGTTGGTGGTATAGTCCTTCATTTGCTGCAGGGCTTGAGCTTAGAATTATGTCAAACCCATCTTAGGTGTAATAAAATTCAGATTAAGTCTATTCCTGAAGCAGATAAGGTTTTTCTTAAAGTGCTGAACGTTAATTGACTTTTATTGCTAATTGGCATTCAGTTCCATTTCCAGAACTTTGCATTTTATTAAAGCAACAGACCTCCTCTCAAGATATTATAACACTCTTTTTAGCTGTTATTTAAGGTGATATTATTTGTCACCCAATGTACTTATTCCCAGACATATATCTCTTTGACATGTTAACTGCATTTCACGAATCATCACTCATTCTTTGGCTTTTTTACTTTTAATTTTAGAAGTTATTGTTGTCGTTCAAGAGGCTGTCAAAAGTGAGACAGAAGCAATTCTGGAGGATTGCGGTCTGAAGCTTAGATTAGATGTTTTTGGAATTCCTGTAAATGAAGACTGGGGTACAGCAGACTCCCTTAGACATATTGCAGACTTCATCAAGGTATTGGATTTTTCAAGTCCTCTGCGTCTATTTTCACATCCAGCTGCCGAGGCGTTTAGCCTTGAGAATTTCATGGGACAAACTGTTCCCCAGACCTGGAGAGCAGTTTTGTTAAAAATTTAAGAAGCTGGTGTTTTTATTAACAGCAGTTGCTTGGAAAGTGAGCTACAGGAAATGGTGAGAAAACAAGAGAGGCATCTTTATTAAAAATTTAAAAATGAAGGAATCTCAGCCTAAAAATTTTAGAGCTCTCTCACTAAAATATAACTGGTCTTAGTATAAAATTTGGACAAATAGTGGAAGAGACGTTTTTTGGTTACACAGTATGCCCCCACCTCTTCTAAAAAAATGTCATTGGGGCGCTGGTTCTTCCTCTGCACAAAAGAGGAAAAAAATGGTCCCATTAATTAGAGGATGATTAGACATTGCATTTCGAACCAAAATGAACTCTCTAGCCACTTATAATAGGAAATAGGTATGACTGTTCAAATCGATGAAGATAATACAATTAAGGGGGTTTTTGACCAACTTTGGACCCCCATAACTCTGGGTCTAAGTAACCCAGAAATTTGAAATTTTGTGAAAATGCTAATCCATTTAGATTCTGAAGCCCCGACAAATTTCATCAAAATCTGAAATGGTCATAAAAACCCAGTTTAAGTTGACATAGAATGACTCAGATGTTTAACTCTCAACTCTTTCCAAAATTCCTCTTATTGCCTTAAGTTTTTCGGAAGAAAAATAGTGGAGTTAGCGGTGAATACAGGAAGAGAGATTAAGATTTTTTAATTTCTGAATGGGGTATGCTGATACTTACTTGACAATTTTCAAGTCATTGACTCTCAAAATACTCAGGAATCAAATTTGTTTGGAAAAAAAAATTTTCAAAAAAAATAATTTCTTTCATTAAGACAGTTTTGTAGTTCATGTTAACTAATTTATTAACTTTGGTTGAAGAATACTCTTGCACTGTGCTCTACAAAAATCTGTGTTTAATTAGAGATCATGGAATTTTCACTTCAGGAATTCATGAAGTATAACTAAGTAAAACTAATGCTGTATATTGAGAAAAAAGTCTCTTACCCATCAGATTTGATTCAATTAAATTCGTTAAATTATAAATGATGATTCTTTTTTTTCTTTTTTTCATAACATTTAGTGTCGGTGGGTGGTATCTGTGTAAGAGTTTACTAATATCCCTTGTTTTTTTCTTGCCAGTCCGATGTGCTTGTCATAAGTTGTGATCTCATAACTAGTATAGATCTGCATGCTGTCCTGAATGCTCATAGAAAGTATAATGCAACTCTAACGGCTGTATTTTTCCCCTCACAAGAGGAAAATTTTGCTTCTCTTCCCACTCCAGGTCCAAAATCTAAGAGTAAGACAGGTATGTAATAATGATTCAAACTCTCTTCTTCCTCTCTCTGCCTATACCCCTTTGCTGGTCTCAAAACTCAATTTTTTTCCAAAATAAAATTAGTTTACAATCTTACTTGCTCTGGTGCAAGAAGAAAATTTTCAAAAATTGCAAAAAAAATTGGAACGTCAAAGTTATCTATAAATCGACTTATTTAGGTACTTTAAACATCTTAGCAAAAATTTAATGTGAATTTTTACACAATTCTGTTAAATGTTTTTTTCTTCTTATTTTTTAATCCAGAATTATACCCTCTAGAAGCTCTTGGCATGTAGGTTTATTTGAAGCGAGAGTTATATTGAACTGATTATGAAAGTGTGCACTTTTTAGCTAAAACAAACAGATAATTGCAGAGCTTTCCGGAAAAGGGGCCAAGAGTTAAAAATGGCGATTGAGAAAATTCATTTGAAGTTCCACACTTACTTTCTGGCCACTGACTGTGACTCACATCAGAGCTTGGACCCACATTTCTGATGTAAGTCACCGTCAGTTGCCAGGAAGTAATAATGGAGTCTTCAAAAGAACTTTTTCCAAACAAGATTTTTTGATATGGGCCCTTTTGCCGGAAAGCTCCTTGATTAAGTGAAGAAACTCTATAAAGTACATCCAATTCTGTTCCGTTCTATTTGATTATGTTCTGCATTTAATTCTTTAATTTGTGTTTCTTAATCCTTTTATATTACTGCCATGGATGATACAAGCAAATTGACCTCTTCCTTTCCAGAGCAAGATATTGTGGGAATCTCGAATAGCACCTCAAGATTACTTCTCTTAGCGTCTGTTTCCGACTATGAAGAAGTCTTGCCAATGCGTAAAGATATAATCAAGAAACATGGAAGAATCGGATTGCATTCAACACTATTAGATGCTCATCTGTATATTATGAAAAAGTGCCTCCTTGACTTCCTAGTTCAGAATAAGTAAGTTAGAAACGTCAATTTTTTGCTTACTTTGTGTATTTAAGGTAACTATGTAATTTTGATGTATATTGTATGGTCCATTCTATCATATCTAATGAATTTGCACCCATAGTGGGTATGCAATATTTTAAGTATTGTATTTTCAACTTGGTAACTCGGTGTTTACATCAGTATTTTTTGCACAAACTTTACTTTGAATACATGGTGGCCAAAGTGAGAAAGACTTTATTCCACTAGCAACATTGCAGACATCCTGTCATATTTAATCATTTCTTTGGAAAACTAATCAGTATAATTTCTTGAAAACTATTAGTAATTTTTCTCTCTGTCAGCAGAATATTCTGTATAAATTTCAAGCTTGAAAATTAAAATAGGAGCGGAAAATTGAAACTCCACAATACATGGTTTCCCACTTTGGCCATCAGCATTCTTGCTCTACTTTTAATTTGGCAACGATACCTATTCTGAAGGAATCTTATCTGGATATTACAATGAATGTGATGAAATCTATCAGTTTAGTTTGGATTGGACTGCAAATTGCTTCTAGAGACTAAGAATTGAAAATGATATAAAAAACCTCATAAAACTGCTCAAACTGCTCAAACTGCTCATAATATCAATACTGCCCATTTTGGGTAGAACTCTTGCAGCATAAAAGCCCTCAAAGAGCTGCCTCAAGGTGCATAAACTTGAATCAGGTCTCAATGTGGGCAGCTTATCAGGTATATCTTTAGTATTTCCATTATTTTTAGTTTTTGGAAAACTGGAAATTTTTGTAAAGCTTGCAAGCGGGATGCTAATTCTAATTTTACATTTCTTGTTAAGCTAATTAGAAAACGTTTTTACAGGTCCATAAGCACCGTCAAAGGAGAACTTTTGCCTCACATAGTGAAAAAACAGTTCAGCGCACAAAATAGTCTCTCAGTGGAATCGAAAAACAAGGATCAAATGGAAGTAATTAGAGACAGTTCTGAAAAAGAAAAAGAATCAAAAGGTATGCACCTATCATTTTTCTTAGACTGAGGAAGTTGTTTATTTATGAGCTTAAGGTTCAAAAATTCCCTCTTTCTTTTTGCTTCTTTGTGAAAATAATTACAAATAATTTGAAACCATGGTTGTGATTTCATGAATAATAAAGTATGATAATGCACACAAAGACATAAATTGATACATTAATCAGTGCTTTTTACTCCAGTCCAGAGATGGATGCTCTCTAATTTTAACCTTTTTTCCAATTGATAATGCCAGAAATTCCTGGCGAAACGGCTTGCGTTCTTTTGTCAGTTTTTTTACCTTGTTTCCCTAGAATTTAAATTGATTGCTAAATAAGTAGATAAACATGATAGCCAAAACATTGGAAAATTTTAATTAATGAAAAAATTTGGTTTTACACACTTATGTATCAAGAAAACGTTTCCAAAGTTGGCACATCAATTTGAGCCTTTGTGTAAAAGATTGTACAGTAATGTAAGGTATAGATAATTAGATTTGCAGGAAAGATATACGCAGTTCGGCTTTTTCTCTAGAAGGCTCCTCAATCGAATCTCACTCTGTATCAATGTCAGCGACATTTAGATCATCTTTGATTTTTCTCCTTTTCTTTTTCAGATATCTTTGATTTTATACACCCTGATGAATTGAGTCAAAAGATCCAAGCCATGTCAACGTTCAATGATCATTTTGGAGACTCAAAACCAGTTTATCACAATGACATTCTTAGATGTTATGCTTACATACCCCCTAGTGACCAGTATGCTGTGAGAGTCAATACTCTCTCCCAGTATTGCTCTATCAATCGACAGGTGACAAGAGCGTTCATACCATTATTAGTTTTTTTTAGCCAATTGTGCAAAGTGAACCCAACTCTTCAATTGGATCCTTTTACCCGGAAAAACCCAAAGCGAGAAGGATTGGGTAAGGGTAGAGCCAACTGATGGGAGATATGCTAGTCTTTCTTACCTGTTAACTAGAAGTGTTGTCTGCCATTATGAGTGAAATTAAAGTTTGACGTCAAACTATGGGAAAGGATATCAACTTCAAAATGGATAGATATTCAATGTTATGGGTTTGTGTCAAGGATGAAAGAGTAAAGAGCTCTCTCTCACGTTAAAGTGCATGATAAAAAATTATAATGACTTTAAACCTACCTGTTTTTTCTCTCAAAGGAAAGATTAGTGTCTCAAGCAGTATGAAAGTTTGAGGGCAAATATTCCAATGTTAATGTCCATGTCTGCTTTGCGCATGAACCTTTTCAGTGCCTCCCCAATAAAAAGAGGTAATTGTTTGTCGTCCACCCTAGGCACTATTTCCATCACAGGTAGTCCAGTCTTGCCCGCTCTGCGCATGCAAGGATTTTCCTATGGTCATAGATTTGACTTTTTAAGTTACATTCAATGCTTAATGTATCTTAACCCTCTATGGCTTGATTTAATTTTCGATCTTGGATTCTGGAAGACACAAATCTATGTTGGAGCCTTCGTAAAAACAATGAGTCACAAACTTTTTTTGAGACAACCATGTTTAATAGCTGTTTTATGAGCTTCTCCTCTGGAACCCACCTCAAATACAGTATTGGCCACTTAAAGTATTTTATATCCTTTTTACGTATCAAAGCTATTTTGGTGATTTTAAATTGATAGAAACATCAGCTCACCAATGCATTAGATATATTTAATGTTATCCTAAAAAATTTCGTGTTGTTCACATTGTACCTATATGCCGCAAACTTCACTAATTTTTTTTGTATACTTTTTTCCAGATAATTTCTCGTTGGAATGAACTAACCAATAAAAAAGAAATGAAGCTAATCTCAGCAAACAATGAAATCCTTTCAACCCAGCTAGATGAGTTTACTTGTGCTGTCGGTAGTTATTCCAAAGTATCGGAGAAAACGTCCATCAAAACTACTCTAATAGGATCAAAGTGTAAAATCAATCCCAAAACGAGAATAACAGACTCAATCATAATGAACAATGTCACCATTGGAGAAGGGTAAGAATTACTTTATGATTAGGTACTACAGTTTAATTTCCTAAGGAAAAATGCACTACATACCAGGAGAGAGGGCCGTAGGGCTCAGTGTCGCAATGGTGAGGAGTTGCAAAAAATCGCCATCTTGCACTGAGTTCATTATTCTCCCCGTTTCGCGTGTTGTTTCCCTGAATTTTTCTGGTTTCTAGACACCTTGCATCCTTGATTAAGGGGAAACAGCAATTTCTGGCTTATTGTTCTTAACCTGTGTCCCAAAAATACAACAGTGATTTTTGGGTTGTAGGTAGTTATTGAAAGTATTTCCCAATGCAGCATGTGCCATTCAGCAATTCCTCAGAATTGAAAGGTCCCTGTACAGTACTAAATAATTTATTGTGACGCCCATTATGAACATCCATTTGTAATTCATGTACATTTTAAAAAGCTTTAGATTATTTTTGAGTGTTTCCTTTTCAGGTGTGTTATCTCAAATTGTGTTATCGGTGATGATGCTGTCCTAGAGGATGGATGCCAACTCAAAGATTGTGTCGTTGGTAGTCAGCATGTAATCCACAAAAATGGTAAATTCTATTAATTTTGTCCTAATTTAATTGTCTCCTTTTCCTTTAAACTTGAAGTTAAACTATTCATTCCTGTACCTTGTACTTTACTACTATTATATCTCAGAGGGAGTTTGCAGAAGTGATTTTTTTGTTTTTCAATGAGCACCTAATAAAAGAAACTGAACAGTGATACAACCAGAATCCTTTTACATCAATTTTAGGGGTTTGAATTTTTGAAGCGGGAATCGGAAAGTGCCATGAAAAATAATAGAAGTTTTTTAGTAAAAATCATAAGAACTCATGAGTAAAATTGAAGAGAATCTTCTTGAATCGGGCAAAACTTGAAAAGGTACAGTCTGGTACAGTCAACCAATCACAAATGACATTTAGCCATAGCCTGGAAGCTTGCCAAAGAACTTGCCCGACCCAATTTTTCTTTTGCTTCAGTTATGGGATCTGTAATTTATTTACCTATTGTCATCTTTTAACATTCATCAATTGGGAATCGTTACCTCATCAGAAAGCTATTTCGTTTCAGTTTTATGTGACAGTTCACAGAGAAAAGTATCAAATAATTTGATTTTGGGATATTGGTAGCACTACGCAGAGGAGTATTTATCCAACATTTTAGCGCAAAAAATACTAAATAGAAAAAAAAAAAGGCCAATGACGGTTCGAAGTTTGCATTTTAAAAAATCCAGGTTTTAAAGAAGGGTGCTCGAAGGTGAATTTGTAATGTTCAGGACTCAAAATTGCAAGATTTTAGTGCTACTTTAAGCCCTCATGTGGCATGAATCTGACCTGAAATCAAGTAATTTATTCATGGGGATACTTGTGCGTTTTCCCTCAAAAACTCCAGTTCTGATTTTTTCATCATATTTGAGGAAAGCACTTACTGGTTTGAGAGTTGCCCCTGAGTGCTGACATTCCTCCTTGAAGAACCATAAAATTCTGTCACACGATCGTATCCGCAATTTTTTTGTTTAGGCTGATACGTTGAAGAAAAGTATATGCAGATCTTCATAATCAGATCATTAGAATGTAAGTTGATCCCTCCTTCTACGTAAGCAAATTTTTTACTCCAGCAGCATGTTTTCTTATATCTCGTTTTTTTCGTTCTTTTTTCTAGCAAAACATTCAAATCAAAGTTTAATGGACATTGACCGACTGATGGAAATTTAAACGGGGAAACCACACTTGAAGGTATAGATTCTAATCTGTGAGGACAATTGAGTCATGAAGTCTGAATGAGGTTCATTCAAGACCTACAGTGAGCGTCACTTCTCATTTATGTATTACGATCCTGTTCAAAGTTCTCATCAGAATCTACACACTATCTGGTCTTGTGAATACCACTTTACTAGGTAAATTGGCTCGAGCTAAGAGCCTGCCCTGAAAATGGAAGTATTCGCTCCTTTAAGCCTGGCTAGGTGCAGGCTTGAACTATCAAGAATTATAAGTAAAAGAGTTTTATTGGGATTTCTTTGCTTTAAACCCATTTCATGACTCAGGGCCCAAAAATTTATCTGGATTTGGGCACACAGTACACCTCAGTGTTGTTTGTATTAGCATCCATATTAACACACATATTGTGTTTCATGATTCCTATGTAAGTCGTCAATTTTTCTGTATCTGGAATTTTTGTTGCTAAATTAGGTCGTGTCTCTTTGAGACGTTCTCATGAGATTTTTCGCTGGGAAAAAACTCATTTGCGAAGCTGGCGCAAATACTAACTAATTCAATATTAATTGCAGTATCAAATAAGATCTTGGTAGAGATCCAAAGAATCTGAAAGAGCGGGAGAAGAAGTGAAGCAAATTGTGTGATATTTTGTTGTTCACTAGATTGTTCAAGTTTGTTTGATTTAATTCATATTTTAATTTTTAATTGTGTTCAATCAGTATCTTAATTCAGGTTAAATACTCGATTTTTACTACTCTATCTTCCTGCGCAAACTCATCGCAGAAAATGTGAGAGCCCTGTCCTATGGAGATGTTAACAATGAAAAATCCCAGTTCTGACCCTGTAACTCATTCCTCGGAAAAATGGCATGAAAACGTACTTTGGAGACAAGGCCTCATGTATTTGAATGCATTATCTTGCACATGGAAGTCAAGAAAGCCCTAGATATAGCCATTCACTTGTACCACTGACTTATGAAGTTCAATTTTTTTTACAAAATAGCTAATTAAAGTAAATTTGAGATTTTAGACACCTACTGTCCAAAAATTTTATTTCTCATTCCAATTCTAAGGAATTGAAACCTGTATCAGATAGCTTGACACTTAATTATTTCTCACCGACATAGGCAGCTGACAGATGTAAATTTCCTTCTTGCGGTGACAGTGAAGAAGTGGACGACATTTTGCATTTAGGGATAATAATATCTAGCTCGATTTAAAACAGCGTATGCACTATTAGTTTTGCTATGCACATTAGAGGTTTTTACAGATGAGCCAGAAACTGTAGTTCCTAATTTTAAAATGCAGTCCAAGTAACCATAAGTGCTGTCAGTTATGAATAAGCAAGTGTCCTTGCAAGCAAGTGAAACTTGCATCTGATGCAAGTTTTATCCTTCAGTAAAAAAAGTGGAATCTATCTTTTCACCTTGCAATAAAAAAATAGAGCTAATTAAAAGTTACGTCCATTTTGGAAACATTTGGAGGAAGGATAGGTTCGTTAGGATGAAAACTTGCGAAAACCTTAGATTTAATTTAATCGGTCAAAAAAGATTGCCATTGGATTAACAATTCACAAATGGTATGACCTAAAACTTAAAAGTATTAGAGACACAGCCAGAAAATAACATATATAGCTTCCTCAATAGAAAAAGATAATTACCAAAACATTATTATTACCAAAGTATTATTAAGAAAATACTTCAAAAACTGTCATTTTTGAAGTACAATTTCGGAAAAGGCTTTTATTTCAAGTCAATGGTTCAGTTGCACTGGTCACAGAATTGTGTTTTGATGCTTGATTCTTGTAGCTTAGCTAAAAGTAACAAGATCTGTCCAAACAACAACTTTCTACGTTCAGGCATTAACCGAGATATCTCCCTTTGAAAAGTCGGGTTTTCCACGTCATCCACTATACAGTAGTGACACCCTTAGTCTCCTCCGCTTTGCTTTCATCCGATTTGTTGAGTAAACAATGCAAATGTACGTCTCTCTGATTAATGAAACCATGGTGGAAGAAACCAATAGTGTCACTTCCACAGTGGATGATGTCATAAACCGAATTCTTCAAAGCGCAATATCTCTGTTAATATTGAACGTAGAAAGTTGTTGTTTGGACAGATCTTAGTATAAGCTAGTCTACAAGAATCAAGCATCAAAACACTGTTCTGTGACCAGCGCAACTGATGCATTATGCCTTGTACTTTTGCTCATAAAAACTTCAGAACGCCGGTTTAATACTTTGGGTTCTTGAGTAGTTAGCATCATTTTGTATTTGCCACACTCACAAACTCTCAGACTTTCAAAAGTTTCAACATTAGAGGTGAGTTTTTCGGATGAGGTCGATTTTCAACGGAGGAAGTAATATATGTACATCAACTTTGAAACTATGAAATGACGTATCTTGGAAAACTCAATTTTTTAGGAGAGGAAAAAAACAGCCTGTTCTTTATCTTGGATGGGAGAAAGGTAATTATTCTTGAAGGTAGCAAAGACACAATGCACTTCAATACTCAATAAGCACTTTAAAAATAGTTCTAGCTATTAGGAAATGTAAAAGAAATCAAGATTAGGGACAAACACATTAAACATGAAACAAAGTCCGAAATACATTGTTTCACAGTTTCATTATTTACTTATTGATCAAAGAGTCGCCTTAATCAGTCACTTGAAAAGATCAGAGCATGAGTGCTGTGATTCAATATTACTAACAATTGATAGTCAAAAAAGACTTTTTAAGAGGTAGATACATTTTAGTATGGCTAGCATATAAACGCGAATCTCAAATCCCATAAGGCTTCGATAAATCATTGAAACATTATTTAAACTAGATAACACTGTACAATTTATACACTCAACATTTTACTCCTGCAAAAAAAGAAAGAAACTGTTGGTTCGTTTTTTACATTGAATTTGTGTCAAGAGTGACCAAGCAAAATCAACATTAAACTGTCACACAATCCTCAGAACTGTAGTTTCAAAATTTTCTCTCTCACTTCATTTTCTTGCAACAAAAAGTACGGACATTTTTTTCCTAAAATGTTAATGAGCAATGGGCCTGTTGCAAACTTTTGCTAGAGCAAAAATAAGAGTTGTTTCTTATAGATAATGCCTCAAAAATCCCGATGAGCGCATCGGCAAAGTCTGAAATGCACTCATAACTTCACAATCTGCGTAAGAAATTTGCGTTTTTTTAAGCTTCCCGCTTCAAAAACGATACTACGGCATAGGTGAACATTTTGTTAGAGGAGTCGCTCCATCGTCGGCGATATTCATCATGGCCGACGCTTGCACGCAGTTCCGCGCGTAATTCAAGGAGAGTTCAAGGTCAATCAATTCGGGCGTGGAAAATATGAACGTTAACACACCGATTGTTATCTGGTCTAATCCAGTTCAGGTGTTATCTCGTCCCATCAAACGTGTTTTGGCGGATTGGCGTCGGCTATGATGATTATTGCCGACAATGGAACGACTCCTCTTACAAAATGTTCACCTGTGCCGTAGTATCGTTTTTGAAGCGGGAAGCTCAAAAAACCGCAAATTTCTTACGCAGTTTGTGAAGTTATGAGCGCATTTCAGACTTTGCCGATGCGCTCATCGTGATTTTTGAGGCATTATCTATAAGAAACAACTCTTAGTTTTGCTCTAGCAAAAGTTTGCAACAGGCCCATTATAGATTGAGAGAAGATCATAGACTTCTTGTTTCAGTGAAAATTTTGAAAGACAAAGAGAATCTGTATGAATTGTATTCATTTTTCTCAGAACAAAAAAAAAAAAAATTAATTTAGCAAGCGGCAAGTTAAGATTAACAGGAAAGCATACTTCAAGGTGATAAGTTTCCTTGAATTTTGAAGGTTCCGGACTATTCCGTGCGTTTTAGATACGAAAATTTACTGAAGTTTGCCTGATCTTCTGAGGATTTTATGTAATCGAATCCTTCATGTGAGTCTGATAGTCCAATTCAGAGCGAAGTGTGGAGAGCATGGGTACAATTAGAGTCTTTAAAAGTTTTGACAGAACAAGAAAATTCAAGGTTTAGTTGCAAAATTTCCTAATTTGCCAGCGTTGAGTAGTATGCGACGAGATTCCTATATTTTTTTTTTCGATTTTTCAAGAACTTGCCACAGTGAAGAATTACCTAAAAAACAAGACTCCCTATGCATATGATCGCACGAACAAGTTAAAACCGGTGAAATACTTATAAAACAATAACTTACAATATAACTGTCTTTTTAAAATGAAGGTTCACCACAGCGATCTGAAAATTTGCAGTCCATCTGCATTTCACTTAAAATTACAAGAATGGTTGGTCTTTCACTCCTCTGTGCGTCTATTATTATTATTGAAGCTAAGATCCTGCGTCCAGGAGACGATATGTTGTGTTTGCAGCGAAATAAATATGTATTCTGGATGTGAAGCAAACTTCAAAAATAAAAATGACTTAAAAAAACAAACATTCCAACGAGTGTTGAACACAAGACTCAAACTACTTCAAAATTGTATTGGGAGGAGACTTTTTGTTTTGATCTCGAGTTCAGAAAAGTTGAAAAATACTGAGTGTATACGTCCTTTGTCCTTTATTTGAATAAACTGTTCTTTTTCATTTTAGAATTCATAGTGCTTTTGGCCTTAGAGCCCAAAATCCAATCTGGCAACTGTCTTGTTTTCCACTCTGATTCACTTCCCTCCTTCTCATCCGAAGAATCACTACTATCGTACTTAATTTTCTTATTGGTATTGATTCTACTTTTAAGGCGAGGACCTGAGGGGTTGCTAACCTTATTGGATGAGCTTGTTACGGATGGAACACTTGTGGTGGGCTTTGTTTCGTACTTACTGAAAGGCTTCACTTCGACATCACACATTTGGGAACTTGAAGACTGTTTGAAAGGAGCCCCGTTAGTGGACTGCGCTTTCTGAACACAGTTAGATTCAGGCATCTCGATATCAGCGAACAAATCCATATCCTCATCGAAAAAACTGTCCGCGTTTGTTGCAGGTTCTTGTTTAATACTGGACCTGCCTGGTTTTAGCAATTCTGGTGATGTGGAATCTTCTTGTTTGGGGGGAGGCTTTAGTTCTTTTACCGAGTCATCGTAACTCGTTGCATCTAGATCATCAAAATTTTGAAACAGATCATCGTCCTCTTCAAAATATGAATCAAAGTTCGAGTTAGTTTGAGGGACTTCTTGATGAATAGAGCTTGCAGTCTTTTCAATAAGATTATTCAGAGGAACAAGTTTACCACTACTGACTTCAGTTTTTCTTTCACTGCGGAACTTAGACAACACTTCATTGACCGTTTTTATGAAGGCTTCTCCGAATTTCATTATTTTAGCTTCGTTGAATCCCTCTAATCCCATTAGATCTTGCGTTGTTTGAGGTTTATGACGGCACAAAGCTTGTAAGGCAAGGTTGCTAGCAACGACATATGGCATGATCTGGAAGTGAAAGGCTAAGTTCTGGCGAGTTTTCAAGAGAGCGTCGTATAAACTTTGTTGAAGTACTAACTCCAATTCGGATTCTTTTTCAGCTTCCGTTGGCTCAGCAGGAATTTCCAGTTGCGGTACTGGTTTTGGTTCTTCTTTGATGTATTCCCCTGGACTAGCAGAGTATTGAGGTTTGACGTGTTGAGGTTTTTTCTTTGTGTGCTTGGTAAGTTCCTCTGTTGGCTCCAATTTAATACCGAGAGATTCAGCACCATTTTGGAGGAAGTTTTCCCCGTCCTCAGTTACACATACAACGCTCATTGGAAAATTACCCTGCCGAAACCCACCAAATGGCTGGCAAGTTTTCTCCTCCAAGAGATCAGCCCTCAACAAAATGCGTCCTGCAAAAAAATAAGTCATCACATTGATGAAAGTCACAAAATAAGTACCTCATTTTGTAATATCGCAGATTTGTCACTTCTTACTTTCCAAAGGAAAACTAACATTCATACTTCTTGGAATTCTAACTGATTATTATTTTGCTCTCTGCAGAATACCCTGCGACAATAATTAGTATTTCTGTGACAGAATCAAACGAAAGCCGAGATGTTAAAACATCCCAATTGGTATTTTGCGACTTTCATTACAGATTTCTTACTCAAAGGAATGAGAAAAACTGTATAGAAAATACTAATTTTTTCTTTGGAGAAGTGACTACATATCCATAGTCAAAGAACAGATGATGGTGTACTAAAGAATTGGTTAAGCGTAAGTGGAATGAAACAAAATACAATTTCGCCAACCGTCATCCGAAAGGTTTCATGAGGTTCTAATACTAGTATTCGTACAGACTAAAAAAAAATTGTCTCCTTGTAGGCAATGGTTCCTAAATTCACAAGATAGATAATAAACATAAATTGAAAATAAATAAATGCTTGGTACAATACCTAATGCTTTCCACCAAATTTCTGATTCGTAGTGTCCTTTGCCGTACAGTTCACTTTTCCGCATGAAGCCTTGGATGAATTTAGTATTTTGGCCACGAAGAAACTGAATAGGTTTCGTTATTCCAGATTTACCATTGAAATATTTAACAGCTTTTATCAGTAACTTGGCATCTTCATCTAAATTCACTTCCACATGATTTTTATACTTATTCAAGACACTGGAACTATTAGGGAAAAAAAACAAAACAAATTAAAGAGAGAATAATAATTACACAGGTCTGCACCTAAAAAAAATCTGGAGGGTTTGATAGCAAATACTTCTGGAATTTTTAGGGTTTAATCCAAAAAATGACTTATATTTCTCCTCTATGCCCATCAATATTTTGGTAAATTGAATTTCCTTTGGAAAATCTGTTTTTTGAGGAGGATATTGATTCTCCAGAAAATTGCTGGCTATAGAGAAAAAACAACGTCATTTTCGAGCTCAGCATTAAAATTCTCAGTAATTTTAAAACAATTGCTTGCTGCAGATTTTTATTGCCCGAGACAGGATAATTCATAATGCATTGAAAGTACCTTTTTAAAATTCAAAACAGCATGATCATACACTGTTGTAAAAGTAAGAGACGTACTGATAATGAGAATGGAACTGTTGATGACTGGAGAAATACAACAGTTAAAAGCTTAAACAAAAAAACAATTAAAATCAAACAGAATAGGTAGCGGTCACTTTACTTTTGTTTGAATGATTATTTTCATTGTAGTTTCCAAAACTTTTAATTCTTAAAAAATTATAAAAACATACTAACCTTCGAAGACAGTTATCACAGCATTTTTTGTTTTGTTTTATCTTAGCTTCATCTACAGTTTGAAAATATGACAGTAAAAGTCGACGTCTACAGCCTTTGGTTTCCAGGTAGTTTTCTAAAAGTCTTGCCATTTTGACCCGATGTGTTTTATAATCTCCTTTTAGATTTACAAAGAAGTGTCTGGAAAAATAGAAATGAATTGAAAACGAAAACTCACTTTAAAAATTAGCGGACAAGCTTAAAGTGAGTGTTAGTTTTAGATAATTGAAGGTAATACATATGCCCAGAGAAAAATTTTAACGACTTCATTGGAGCTTCAAAATAAGTAATTAGTGCCATTGTTTTGTAGATTAGGCGAGTCTTTAAACTTTTTAGCTTAAATTTCTGCTGATGTTTCTATGTGTACCTGGCTTATAATTCTACATTTCCACAAGAACCTTGTAAATAGTACTCACTTGTGCGTTAGTTGATATTGATATTGTAGACACATTTTGTTTTTCTAGCATCCTCAGTAAAACTGTGTTGCCTTGTGTGAGGATGCTAGAGAGTGGAACTGGCAAAATCATTTGCAATATTGGTACAAGTTTAGGCACAAGTGAGCATTAACATTGTTTTTGAACTTTTTCTTGTGTGCTTTTCTGTAAATATTCTTTATTTTTTGACTCACATTGAATTAATTGCAAAAAAGACAAAAAGAAAATAAGATTATATAGTTTCACCAACAATAACTACCAGAATGTCACATTTTTTGAACTGCATATTACATTAATGATCTTGCTCTTGAAAGCTGCCATCAATATCATTATCAAGGTGTACCTTGCCGGTTATTCTGTTTTTAAACTGTTGGCTTTCACCTTTTAGTTCTCAAAAAAGATCTGGGTTCAACTGTTACTTCTCTGAAATAATTTTCCAGTATACATTCAAGATGTATCCAAAGTATGGATGACTGTTCTTTAGTATACAGTTTGGTTTCAAGGTAAATAATAATTTTATTTATTTTCTGAAACCAACAGATTAATAATTGTAGGCAGTATTAAAACAATTTCACATACTTATTGCTGGAGAAATCAGCTGGTCTGTAGAACACATGGCAACGGGAGGGCAATCCATCCCGACCGGCTCTTCCCACTTCCTGATAGTACGATTCTATTTCTTTTGGAGCACCATAATGAATTACGAAACGAACATCTGAAAATTTGAGTAATCAACATTTAGATAACTTGCTTTTAACGAGAGAGATCTGATTAATTTTTATATTCACGATAAAGAAATTGAATCGGAAATTATAATTATTATTCTGCCTCAACAAGCACATGCATTGAAGGAGACCATAAGTAGTATAGGTAGAAGTTGTCGTTAGGTCCGCACTGACTGACGAAGCCCTCATGGGGCCTAGGCATCTGCTGTTGGGGACACCAAAGTTGGACTGTGCTTCTTGACTTATAACAATGACATATACCATATTCTTGCAGAGCTTAGATGCCATCTTGTGAGTGAACGACAGGTTTTATCAAAAACTCTGGCTAGTTCCATTCCTCATTGTTGTAAAAATGATTTTCTGGCAAAAATTTCGTGAGAAAAGTGATTAAATGCTAAATAATAGCAGAAAAGCTGAAGAAAATAATTTAGCATCCACTTAGTACCTGGTTTATCAATGCCCATTCCAAATGCAACAGTTGCAACTATCACAGTCAATTCATCCCGCACAAACATTTCATGAATTTTTTGGCGCTTCTCTAAATTTAATCCAGCATGATAACTTTCGCAAGTGACTCCATTACCTAGAGATTGAAGTTAAATTAATAAAATGAAAAAAAACAACAATTTTCTAGATTATTAAATTAATTTTTGTAAAATGGGCACAAGATATGCAGATGAGAAACTAACATTTGATATAGAAAAATAACTTTGGGCTATGCAAGGAAATTTCAGGCAAAATTCTCTAAAATTTGCCCCATAACTTGTCGATAGAAAGTCGATAGAAAACCTTAGGAACATTTTTTGATAAGAAAATTATATTTGTGTCTAGGATTAGAACTAATAATTGAGATGAGTAAAAAAAGCATATCTCAGTTGAACTTATGCTGAGTCTCTTGAATCACTGATTTTGATTGCAAAAATTTAAGTTAAGGTGAAAACGAGTGAATGCTTTCTGGATCCTAGCCTGCGAAAATTGAGGAAGATAGCATTCAGAATGGTGAGGAAAAGTTACTTACGTTTTAAAACAAGGGTTATTTCTTCCGTTCTCTTCCTAGTTGGACAATAAATAATTGTTGACCCTTCAAATTTAAAATTTAAACCATCTCTGACCATTAGTTTTTTAAAGTCATCAAACACATTATCCGCTGTTTCCATGTCATCTTGAGCTGAGTATCGAAAAGATGCACTTAAGAATAAATTAGGACGGTCAAAATCGGTACAAATCATTTCAGGGTTTCTAAGCCTTAATGATTGACTAATGTCCTGTCTAACTTTGGTGGTGGCAGTTGCCGTTAGTGCTATAAAAGGCACATCTTTCAGTCCTTGTTTCAACAAACCTAAAGTTCTGAAACAAAAATTCAACTTATCAATTAATTGGTCAAGATTAACATAATTAAAGGAATTGAGTTCACTCTAGGCATATTACTTGAGTAAAGCATAGTTGCCCTTGATTATTCAACACAATGAGACAGCCACAACAGCCACAAGAAAACGGGAAAATGGACGGTCTAGAGGGACTCTCGTGTTATGAATATGAAAAGTCAAAATGATGGGCAAAGTTTTCAAAAAGAAGGTATGCCTACTGTGATCTTTTTTGACCTCCTATCCCCACCTTTTTAGTTTTGTTCACTTATAAAAGGAAGCTACTCACTGCAAAACAATAATAAAGCATAAATAAGGGTAACCTGTAATGAGAGAGTTAAGTTAGAAAAACCAAGATGAAATGGGCAGAGTTTAGCGGAGAAGCACCATCTTCCTAGGCTCGTTCCAAAGATGAAAAATGGCTCAGTGACACCCATTTTTTTAAAATCCATTTTATGAAAGTATGGAGGGTACTACACATCTAGGAATTATTTCAGATTCCTTTAACCCTAAATGGCAAAGAGACTCCGTTTTGAAAATGCCAAAAATAGGACTTGTTCGAAATGATATTTTTGGCAGGCTCTGATGACATAGCCTAGCAGGGGAACAGCTTTTGCTGATCGGCTGAACACAACTCCAGGGATCGCATTGCTACTTCAACTCAACTGTTGACGTTTTGAGAGCTTTTTCTCTCCATAGAGCTGATTTTTTTGAACTATTGAATGAACTCTTTGGTTTTCTCACGAAATTTTACATCGGGTAAACTGTATTTTAACCCTGCAAAAAATAGCCAGTACCCGATTGATCATACTTTCTCAGAACCAATAGCTGCTTTTAAAAAAGTATCTATACAGTTGGTTTCTTTCTGTTAGAGTTAGTGTGAATGAGAGGCTTTTTGATACATACCGATAATCGGGTCTGAAATCGCAGCCCCACTGGCTCACACAATGTGCTTCATCGATGGCAACCACAGTAATCTTGATTTTTTTATGGAGTTCCGCAAGGAAGTCTCTGTTACTGTCTTGACACCATTCTGGTGTCACATATAGAACTCTGTATTTTCCTTTCATTAATCCGTCCATGACTGCATGTTTTTCAGTTTGAGCAGATCCCAAACAGCACGCTGAGATGTTTGATGTCTGTTGAAAAAATACGATGAGATTCTTAAAAAATGTTCTCTTTAAATTGCTGCATAACTGATCAACCAAAGTTTTTTTATCCAATTGATATGCATACAAGGATCCAGAAGATAAAGGTATGGCAATCCAATTTTAGTTTATTTAGAAAAGTCCACCCTAGGGTAGGTTAAAATATAGTTCCCGTACAAAATTCATAATAAGTACAATTTTCACAGAATGTAAGCACAAACAGTAAAAAATCCATAACTTCAGTTCATAATAATTTAATTTCCTTTTTTATAAACATTTTTTCTTTAAGCAGTGTTCCAATATTGTAAATAAAAGACAGTAATGAAAAATATAATAATTACATACTGAGACACCTCACTAATAAAATCATAAGAATGCATTCATGTATCTCCCAAATACAATTCCCAATGGACCCCTCATTAATTTTTTTTTAAACACCTCATTTTAATTACCTCAACGGACCCTAACTTTATGCATGAAATTGATTTTAGAGGCTTTATTGTATGAAAAAAATTTGAGTTAATCAATTGGACCAAAGTTGATACTCCAACCGTTGAATTCGGTAGGTATTCGATTTGATAGTCGTACATGCATTCATTTGATTCATAATTTTCTTCCTTTCAATCAAAGAAGCTTAAATGCTTCTTATTATTTATCAAGATATGTTCCAAATTTGTTTATATTCCTCATGACACAGGGGATCCCTTTATATACAAAAGGTTGGAGAAAATGGAGAAGAAATGTATTAATTAAGAATTGTACAATGTTGTGAGAGAATTTCATGAAATGAAAGGCACTGACCTGTAAAGAAAGAATTTGATCCTGCATCAATGAGATAAGGGGCGAAATAACGATGCCCAGACCTTTCGCAAATACAGGTGGGTATTGGTAGCATAAACTTTTGCCATAACCTGTGGCCATTACAACAACAAGGTCCCTTTTTTCCTGGATAAGAACAAATAAAAAAAAAAATAAAACAAGAAAAGGAGACGAAAATGGTTATAAAAAGAATGTTCTGTTTTCAGTTACCTCCAGATAATTCCGAATTTACACATTGGGTGCAAAATGCATCTTTCTCGTTTTAATTACGGGACCTTTCTGGACCCAACGCTTTAGAACTCAAAAGTTAGCAAAATTACATTTGTGGCAATTAATTTTTTATGTAAAATTTTGGTTCAGTCAACTGTAGAAGATAAATTGTCTTGCTTTGATGAAAAAATAATTAATACCACTGATTGAATAGATTTTTGATGGCATGTGCGAATTAAATTATTTATTATAACTAATTGAAAGTTAGTATTACAATCATGTTTTTTTATACTAATTTTTAAATTTGACATATTTTGAAAGTGATTTGCTGTTTGGATTAAGGTAAAAGATCAATTTTCCTACAGTATATGCCACTCAAATTAAAAATGTAACGAGTCTGCAGCCAATGATAAATTAAAACCGGAAATTCTAATTAAGGTGACTTTTCATGAAAGCTATATATTTAGTGTCTTTTACCTTCAGAAGAGTGTATATTATTTTCCATTGCAAAGGTCGAAAATTTGAATGACCGAACTGATTATGAAGAACCTGTAGGTGCTCAGGACTAGGATCTGGAATGTTCATGTCTGAAAACAGAAAAAAAGATAATAGGTAAAAGGTTGAGACTGTGGTTGGGCACTAAAAACAGGTGTTTCGCTAGGCATTACTTGCGAAGCATTTCATTTCAAAACTTACTTTCGGTACAAATTTCTGCATTAAAAAGCGAGTAAGTTACTTGAACTTGCAAGTAAATCAGTAAAGTCTTGAAATTTCCTCAATTTTATTTCGTAAAAAAATAAATCCTTCAGTGTTTCTTAAAGTTTGGCACCAGGAAAAAATCAGAAAATCAGCGATCAATCATCTGGAAAATATCGCACTTTTAAAAAAATTCCGTAGGCGTGCAAGGTTATCCAGAAATTTTAGAATACCCTTATAATTTTCGAGAAAATTGAGTTGAGATAGGTACAAAATTGATGTAGGCAGCGTTTCAAGATGAGAAGGAACTAATATTTTTAACCTCCTCCCTTTCCCTCGCCACGGAGGCGTCTGTGCGAGACAACATTGCATTTTCAAATGACAACCCTTGTCCTGAGATATACTTGTGATAAGCGCATGAAAAACGAGGGAAAAAAGGCACAAACAAATTTTGCAAGCTGTCACCGTTTCAAAACGACTGCTTTATTTAAATTTGACTGAATTTTAAAAAGATTTACGAGGAGACCCTCCGTGCCCTCCTCTGAAGATAGGAAAATCTCCTGGGCTCCTCTTTGTAGCTCTTTGTAGAATTAGAGGAGTATCCGAAGGAACTAGATGAGAAAAACACTTACTATTAAAATTAAATCAACCCAAGAAAATAAAAGCCACTCAGAAAGAAAACCCAGCTGGAGGAAACCCACAAATCCCCTTGAAGGTCATTTTTTTTAGTGTCCCCTGAATCTCTCTTGACGAGGTGCCCTTCTGCCCCCCCCCCCCCCCNAAGAAAAAGTTCTTAGCTCCGCCCGTGGGAATTGTAACGGATGAGACAGATATGTAGTGGGCCGTCCATAAATTAGGTACGTCATCCATTTCCCCCAACTTTTTGACCCCTCCCTCCTCCTATGTCACCACCTACATGTCACTCACCTTTATTAGACCTTCCCCCTAAAAATTACGTCATGTCATTTCAAGCGAGATTCCCCTTTTTGCGTAAATGTGGGGTTGTAGCAAACCTTAGCTGCAGGCGTATCGAAAATTAAATTGATAAAATGGCTCGAAATCAACGTTGAGCATATTAAAAAAATCTAAAATCCACTCCTTTTCTCAGTATGATACGCTGACGACACTTTTGCTTAACCCTTCCCCTCCCCCTCCTACACGCTACTCACTCCCAAGCCCCATCCCCAGTGGGTGATGTAATTGTGAACTACCTTAGTGTGGCAAAATGAAGTCCATTTCAAAATCATCCCAAAATATTGTCGTATTAACTGGGCAGGGTGTGCAGTTTTTTTTCATTTTGGGAAATCTTGATGAAATCCTGATTTTTGACTGCTAAATCCTGATTTCATAATCTTTTCCAAATTCTGATTTTTTGCGGAGAAAAATTAGGCGTATGTGACTTCACAGAAACACTGGGAAAAAAACCGTTGGATTTAGAGTCCAGACTCTTGAAAACATTGAAAAGAAAAATCACTCTTGATTCAATCAGATTTAAGCTTAAATCAAAAGGAAATCCGCTCAAATTAAGAGGCTTGGTTCATGATCTGAGCAAAAATCCGACTGAATCAAGAGTATTTTTTCTTGTCGATGTTTTTAAGAGTCTGAGTCCCTAGATCCAATGTGTTTTTTTTTCCAGTGAATAGCTCGATTAAAAAAATCCGATCGGACGGCCGACTTTTCTCAGATCCTGATTTTCCGACCGATTTTTCCTCAAATCCCGATTGACCTCAAATCCTGATAGAATCGGGAAAATCCTGATGCTAGACACCCTGTGGGGCGAACATCGAAAACCCGCGACTCCCCAGACAGTCGGAAAAATTGTAGAAACGGACGACATCCACGTAAGAGCAACATACTTGCCGCGACTGGGTGAGTCATTGAAATATGATAGGGACCGACCCGCGCCCGCGACCGGGGCCGATCGCGCAGTAACGACACAGCCCGCTGGGACCGCGTTATAAATCAGGAATGAAGCGAAAGAATGTGAAAATGGAATGAAGGTAAATAGTCGAGCGCCGAGATCCAGCAATATGCAAAAGCGCGGGGGACAGAAATAGCCGGATCCTCCCACCGCAGCGGGCACGGGGCAAGCACCCGCATCTTTATCCCCCCCACCCCCACCCCCTTCGCCACCCCCGTCCCTCCCGCCTCCTCCACCCTTAGATCCAAAACAAGATAAGCGCGCGAACTATTTGCTGTAGGTATCCCGCGTTAGTCCATAGTGCATAGCCCTGATAGTGATCTCCAAACCACCCGAATCCCGATCGCCGTGGCCAAAATTATCAGGTAAGCTCCGTTTCGACAGTCCGATTAGGTGCGGGTGCACGCGGGAGGGGGCGCACGGGGGGCTGCAATCGGTGAATTCCTCCTCGGAGGGTCAATGCTTTGCGAAATTGGCACCTACTCACGAACTGACCTTTCGCTATGCGACGGACCTAGACACACACACGCGCACTAGTTTTGGTTCCTCTTCCTAGTTTTCGAGAAAACCGTTTCACGAGTTACAGATTTGTGAGAATTCGCTTGGTTTCGTCATCATTTCAATTTGAGAGCAACTGGCAACTACCCACCCCCTGCGAAGGGATACTGCCAACGTTGTCTCAAGCTCTCAATATCCCTAAAGCCGCACAATGGATCGAGACAATTAGAGAGGTCGGACGGGAAATTTTTGACAAAAATTGCACATTTTGTGGTTTATTTCGTCACATTTTAAATTTTAAGGGGTGCTTTAAGAAGAGAATTTAACGATGAAACGAATGAAGCCGCACTTTTAGAACCTCAAAGGTCTGTATAAATGGAGTTATAAGCGTTTAAAGTTTCCAAATTTTGTCCGACCTTTTCCATTGGCTCGGTCCACTGTGAGCCGTAGCAATATATGGATCGCATTAAGCAGAAAGGAACCAGCGCGATCACAGTGTTGTAAAAATGTTGCTTCTTCTTAATTATCCGAAAAATCTCCCAGGGTAGCAAATAGTTTTTGTTTCCCACAAAAAAATTGTTAGTTTTAAAGAAAAATAATTTTGTGAATTCGAATACTGTGAATATACTGCGTACCTACTTTTAAAAGAGAGGAAGAAATTGCACGATTTTGAAAAATCGCAGTAATCACCGGTTCCTTTTTGTTATATGCGATCCATGTAGAGTGGGTTATGTTTCAACGATGTTGTGGCAACATTACTTATGAGATAAAAAGCAATACTGTCAAGAAAAACTGTACCGATCTCTTCGGAAAATGCACTGAAAACCATGCAGCTCTTGATTAGGTGATAAAAAATGCCCTAGGTGCTTCGTGCATCGCAAAGGGAAATGCCCACAAGTTTCTTGGTAAAATTACTACGTACAAGTTGAAATTTCGCATCGTGGCAATGTGGTTACGCTCCCTCATCTGAGGAACAGCGAATCACGCGTTTGTTTTGGCATGCTACTTGCCTTTAGACTTCAAAAGCAAGCATCGAAAAACCTGACAAATGGTCATCCATCCAAAACGCGTGTACTTTCATTTGCGGCCTCAAGCAATTCCATTATTTTAAAACTTGTTAAAAACGTTACTCTCCAGAAACTACTGTGCGAGGAACAATTTTTTTTTTCCCTAAAAAAATTAGAAATATGGAACACACTGGGCGACATTCTTCATCGTCCCATTTCGATCGTTCCGACGTTTTCAAATCAATCGTTCGCCGATTGTGAAATGCTGGGCTATACATACCATCCGCAATCATACATGAAACAAATATCATAGTATCGCGCGAGAGTAGTAGTGTAGTACCGTAACAATTTCTGTCTAAAAGTTTCATTCACTCGAATTATAGATTGTAAAAATTACTTTCATGGATTTGAATTACTGATTGAAAAAATTACTTCTCTTCTCACTAGCTTGTGACCTAACTACAAAATCAAGAACTCATATTTGATATTTATTTTTACTAAATAATAGGTCTCTAGAAAGGGCATATTAATTGAGGCGCGTACTACGTAACGGCAGATCTCCTTTCAAAATCTTACGAGGAAAACCATTTACACAAGGAAAAGTCTGGATATCATCTCCCTAAGAAGGAGCAAGTGTTTACAAAATTAACAATGGTTGACAGGCAACAATATAAATGACGTCATTTATACGATTTAACTTCCATTAGATCTGTTAATATTTCGCTCAGAATTTGATTTTCGGACATCCCGTTGTGTGAATAGTTTTCGCGTAATATTTTGAGTAGAGACCATTTGATGTTTTTCCCTAGTTCGGACCTTGTCCAATGGTCCGTTTGGATGGTTACTTGACGCCGAAGGGAATTCGCGACGAAAAATTTTTAAAAAATAGAGATGATGTAGGATCTCACACTGAAAAAATTGTCAAAAGTCGAAAACAAATTGACAACATATTGAGATAGGTAGCTACTATTTTAGCCCATTTACGTAACAACGAACGTACCATCAGTTTTCGCGTGCAGATAATTGTTTATATAGGTGAGCTAGAAATGGTAAGAATGGGTTCTTACTGCAAAATGTGGTTCAGATACGAGTATAAGACGAGCTGCCAAAGCGAAAAGAGCTATCAGTGAAATAAGGTAAATATATCTGTGGAGGAGTTTCATCTTGCTTGATTCGGAAATCGGAAATTAAATTTTCGAAAAGAAGCTTTTCCTAGTATCGCTAAGAACAATATTAAAAGGAAGTGTGAGCACTTTAATTTCGGGCTAATGGGAGGTGTGAAAGAACATACTGATTTGCCAATTTTGAAACTTAAACATGGTAATAACACTGATACAGTTTTTTCTTGAAACTACGTTCTCTTGAGCTGCGAACTTTAAAACGCTATAACTCCGGTTTAGTTCGACATTTATGAGCGTTTCTTGTGCCAAAACGTTGGTGAAACACTCTTCAAAACAGTGGTGCC